CATCATCCATCCACCTCGTTATATCCTCAAAGAGTGTAGCCTTTTTGGGTACAGTTAGCTATGCATATTGCTACAGTAGCCTGCACGATATCTAAGGATCCAATAGGTTTATGAGATCAATCCAATGTTCAATTATTAATTGAAAGTCTCAGCAGTTGTTTCTTTCTCTTTGATTTCTGTATTGCAGAACCAGACTCCCCACCCCAAAATGTAGAGCTAATAAGTGCAACTGCAACAGAAATAAACCTGAGATGGTTACCACCTGAGGAGCCTAATGGTCTCATAACTCACTATGAAGTTCTGTACAGTGATTCAAATTATTTATTTATCAAAAATACCTCATCTACAAGTATATCACTAGGTGAAATGAAGCCGTTTACTCTCTACAACATCTCTGTAAGGGCATTCACCAGACTTGGCCATGGGAATCAGTCATCTTTCCCACTTTTAGTGAGAACTTCTGAAACTGGTGAGTATAAAAATGTAAATTTTCCACAGTCAGCGGCTTTATGGTGACATGTGATGCCTATGAGGTCCATTTAATTAATTTTACAAGTATGTGTTTGGTTTGCAAAGCAGGAAGTTTGAACCCTGCTTTCTCTTTCATATAGAGAACAGAAGTAAGGAAATAGTAAGGGAAATTAAGAAGTCAAGAAGACAGTGGGAAGTTGAATGGACTGTTTGTCCTTGAAGATCCTTTGTGTCATGCAGGAAAATATTTTTTTGGTAGGAAAGGAAGGTTTTCAGAAAGTGAGTGTGACTTGGAATTCAAATTATGAACTGAAATTTGGTAAGAATTTAATCCTAATGGTTAAAAAAAACAAACCAAGCCAACCAGAATTCACAGATAAGGTCCTATTTTGTAGCAGACAAAGTTGGTTTTGTTAATACAAATTTTTTGGAGAAGGTACAGATAAAATTAGATAGCAGAGGATTAGAGTAGGTGAAGTTTTTCCAAGAAAGGGAAGTAAATTTAGAAGTGAGGATTGGGAGGGATTAGCATAGGGATATGGGGTAGGTATAGGATAGATTGGGAGGTATAGCAAGGCATAGGAAGAGACTTGAAATAAGTAAATAGCTGTAAGGTAGGACAATGTAGGAAAAGGGATATAAAATACAGGCAGAGGGTCGTTCAATTTTCAGTTGAGCTAAATGGGAGAGGTATTGGAATAAAACTGAGGATAATGGTTTACACAGAGAAATAGATGTTTGGGTTGTGCTGCAGACTCAGGAATGAAAGGTGTCTGAGGGTACAGACATGAATGTTCATTTCCTTTAGGACTCAGGTAGCACTGGATTGATTATCTGGTTTTTGGGGCCTTTTGCCATCTTCACCAGTTTACTACCTCAGACAACTGCCTACTTTATCTATACCTAGAGATAGGCCTGGAGCTAAGCATGCTCTGTTTATCATACTTTCTCAATGAGGAAAGACATGCACATACTATGTCTCTCAGAAGGGGCGGGGAGATGCTCTGGCTCCTTGAGTGTTAAGACACAGTGGAATCACCATGAGCTCCTTCTCCTTCTTGTTTCTGAAATGAACTTTGATTTTTCCTGTGTGAAGTAGCTGTGGTCCAGGCCTGCCTAACAAGTCAAGCTCTTAAGGAACTGGGACACAAACCCCTAGTTTTCAGATTGTAGGTAACAGTAATCATAATGGAAGCATCAAGCTACCTCTGCCCAGACATTGTGCTACTTTTGAGGATTTTTTTTTGGTCAGATACCATAAGTATGTAGGCACCTGCCCAACTGATATGTCCTTAGACATAATCTTTTTTTATTGCTCTTTTTAACTTAGGCATCCATCTTCTGTCTAAGTTGTATTTCAAGGCAGTTAGCTCTTTCTCAGTGCCTAGCTCCCCCGATGCTCAAAACAAAAATCTGAATTCCAGCTGCCTGTGATAGAGATGAGAAGCTGCAAAAACATCTTCTGAGATTAGAAGAATAAAAACAAGGCAGGATCTGAAGAATGGAGCATTTTGAGTGAAACACAACCTATTCCTGGGCTGGTGTGTTTGAAGAGTTCTTGGAAGTTCTGTGTTACCATTCTACCATGAAATTAGGCAGAATTATGGGCTGATTTCACTACATTTAATGGCACTTATTCCCTTTCTGGATATTGCTTAAGCCAAAATTATTTCTACTTTTGAATGTGGAGTTTCATCAAATGTCAGTACATTTATAAGAACATTCAGCGCATCCTGAAGCATCCCCATACCTCACTTGACCTTCTGGGCAAGTTGTGCTGTCATTGTATGATTATTATTTTCTGTAATAAAATGTGTTATGCTATCAAATCAGTTTTAGATAATAGAAAACATATTTCTGTGTTTGTTTGAGGACAGACGGACACATGCACGCAGAAACCAATTGTCATGACACTGCAAGAGCTATCTGCTCCATAAAGGCTGGGGAGTCAAGAGCTGAGGGAGTCCCTGAACCAGTGAGGCAGAAGCCTCACTAGCCAGGACTTGTCCTACCAACCCCCAGTGAAGGGACTGGGGCAGGTCTGGGGCAGCCTTGAAGTTCAGATTGCCAGACAGGGCTGAGGTTGAGCCAGGAAAGTGAGTTAGCAGGTTCAGTGACACCAACCAAGTCAGGCACAGCCCAGTGATAGCTGGGTACATCTTTAGTGATGGGGCCAGGCTGAGGTCAGGCCGCAATGTCAGGCTGCAAGTTGGGGGTCAGTGGGTCCATGCCCAAGCATGGTCACGGCAGTGATGAGGCAGAAGATGCAGCTGACAGGGGCAAAGCACGAGAGCCCCCGCTGACAGCAACTCCCAGTGGGCAACCCTGGCTGCAGCCTCACTGCAGCACTGCCTGGAAACATGTCACCAGCAAGGAGAAGTTAGCCCTCTGTTACACCATTGCTAAGCTGGCCCTGAGCCCCAGCAGCCCAACCTCCAGAGGGGACCCCTCTCAGGGCCCTTACAGCAATGTGTTAGACTCCCTTTGTTTTCCCATACAAGTATTCATACAGTTTGTATAGATCACCCAGGGAAAAGGAAAAAAATGCAGGTTGCTGATACAAAGTATAAATTATGGCAGTACAACATGGAAAGTCTCCTAACAGTAGCTAACATGGAGGATTGCAGTGATAGTTATGGAGTGTTAGGAGGAAGGTTCAGCATCATGCTCTAGATTGCTTTTATCTGGCATGTTAAGGTGATTTCCATAATTATTTTTTAAAAGAATGACCCATACCTTGTTATAGTGTGTGTGTCATGTGGTTTTGATCTTCCAGTTCAGCCTCTTTTAAAATTTATTTTGTGCAAAAAATAGGATAAAAATCAAAATGTTTACAATGTGTTTCATTTAAACCAGTTTAAGAAAATGCTTAACAAATCAATTGAACTGACTGGAATCTTCTATGAGTCTAAATTTTCTCTTCTAGTTCCTGATTCTGCACCAGAGAACATAACCTACAGGAACATCTCATCCGTGGAAATTGAATTATCTTTTTTCCCACCATCCATTCCCAATGGAATCGTACAGACCTACACAATCTATCTCAAGAGGACTAATGGAACAGAGCAAAGAGTCATAAACACTACTCTTCTGACACTGCATATTACAGGTCAGTATATAATGATCTGGAACTTATGGCAACTATAAATTGTTCTGAGAACAGATCAGAAAACTGATGCAGATCAATTTGTTCATTGGCAGAACATGATCCTTCTTGTCCTTACACAAATTTATATGCTACCTGTCCTGAGAAGTAGCCTGTTACGTCCTGCACTAATGTGGTGGAATGGGCTACAATCAGGATGGAGTCTAACATATATCTCATTGTATTTTAGATGTTTAAAGTACAAGGAACTTGAATAGATTTCTTTGCACATCTATCATCATAACAAAGTAAACACTGAAGTCACCAACATTCCTTTCTGGTCTTATTCTGGATAAAAAGAAATTCTTCCCTTTCCACTCAGCTTTGCATCTTTTTCTATGTTCTGTCATTAGTACCGAGGCATGACACAGCAGCAAATGCTGGGAGCTCGGTACTTTAAACAGTACATTTTCAGAGTGCAGCCAAGTGCAATCTGTAAAGCATTCTAGGGATATGAAGAATATTCTGGCAATTAGGGCTTTGCCCTTTCTTTTGTTCATGAAGAATACTTTGTGTTCAAGTTTTCCTGATGCTCTTTTCACTCCCTTAAGACACAGATCAGTGTCAGTGTTGGGCCTGTTTAGCACTTCAAAACTACTTATGGTCCATTAAATTTGTCCCGCTGAATGGTTCGCTTACTGAATTCTTCTTCTTTATTTAGATTTAAAGAAATATACAGAATATACTATAGAAGTGTCTGCTAGTACCACAATGGGGGAGGGCCTTCGTAGTGCACCTCTGCATATACTGACAGATGAAGACGGTAAGTCAGAACAGAAATTGCAATGAATCATTATCTGCCTGTAGTCTTTAACTAATCTTACACTTCATGTCAGATATGTGTAGGTTTTATATCTTTCTTTTGCAATTATATCTCTGTACTGATATCTGTATCTACCTATCTACACACAGACGTGCATCTATCTGTCTGTTATTTAATATTTTTATCAGTACAAGCCTTGTGAAATGGCACAATTGTTGTGCATGGACATTTGGTCTTACCAGTATTTTATGAATTTGAAGAATCTCAATTTATTAATATAATTTCAATCTAATACTCCACATTGTAGAATTAAATATTGTGTTTGGTTCTGCAGACATGTGAGAACTGGAGAAAGGGAAACCCACCATAAGCCAGCTTGAATGGTCCAAGGACATTTCTGGTTCTTTTGTTTGGAGATTTTTTTGATTCTTCCAAGCAGATGCCTGTACAGATACACATATATATGTGTGTAAAATTATTAATGTAATGAAAATGCTCAAAGTCCATCACCTTTAGTAATGGACTTCCAAATTGAACCGGGAAGTGTTCTGCACTACAGGCTAAGTGTAGAATACAGGCATTGCATCCCCTGTTAATGAGTACAGTAGGTCACAAATCAGCAGAGAACCTTAAAATGATACTTGTACTCAATTTAGTTGTAAGAAGTTATCATTGGCCCCCTCTATAGTTTCTGGAGGGGGAATCCTGAAAAGAATTCGAAACAGAGTCTTAGGTGCTGTGAATCACATTTTGGAGGAATCTGTGTTTGTCCCTCTCCATTGCTTAGGGAAGAAGTCTCTGGAAGCCTGGACTAAAGCAGCAGTGATACAAACATCGCAGCAGCCATCCCAAATTAAGTCTGTTTTCATGTCTTAGGGAGCACTGACTTGCCTAATATCTAGATTTTAATGATAAAGAATATTTGCAAATCTCCAAGATGTTGGTGGCCTTACATTCACACTGTCAGTAATGAAGCTTTGCTCAAAAGTAATGTTGCTGGAGCACACTGGGAACAGCTAATTTGGATAAATCCATCTTTTGCATAGTGTATTTTTATTTAGAGCCATGTAGATTCTGTTCTTCAGCAAAAAATATCCTCTGAATGAGAACTGTAGAATGAACTAGACATGCCAAAAAGACATGACATTCACAGTATGACAGATCTTTTATTATATCGTCACTGAGGATAATATAACTACTAAAACACTAAATACAGCTGTCACCATTTTTCGCTAGTAAATACAGACATTCACTGAATTCAGTGAACCTTTGTTCATGAAAAATATTTTTTTTTAAATGTACAAAGTTCTAAAACCTTTCTGCCAACTTTTGAGATAGTGGAAGAAGGAAAAACAACGGAAAAACAACAATATTTATAATACACCACATGTTCTTTATTCAAACAGGAACACTGTGTTCCAAGGTTCAGACCAAATGTTTCATAGATTTGCTAATAGCTATGCTCATATTCTCAATTTTCATGCATGACTACAGCTATGACCTGAATTTTTAGTGCATGATGCTCTTTGGTTTAATTTGAGAAAAACAAAAGTAATTCTAACATTACTTCATAGCGTTACATATATCCATGAATCAAGATTAAGAAAAATATTTACTTTTCAATAACATGCTAATACAAAGCAGTATCACTTATGCATACATGAGTATATTTTTCCTCAGTAATATTTTTATGAACTTTAAAATGAAATCAAACCTGGTCTAATATTTTTATTTACTTACATTGTCTCTCTACACAGTTGTGATATGGTGTCATGTAGAGTTCATCCTAAAATGAATTTTAAGGGTCTCAGTCAATGCCTATCTTTATATTTGCCCTTGTGACATGTTAAATGTATGAATGTGGCCTTTATTTGATGGAGTGAATAGGTTTTTCTGCTGCCTAGTATCCCACATTTTTATCATCTCTCACTGCCATGCTTATCCATTTTTCCACCTTTTTGTGCTTTGTATAATTCTTTACAGCACCTCTTTTTCCTCAGGGGAACTATTTTGCTGCATTTTACATGTGTTCATACATATAAGGCTCTTGCTTTTATTAGAAGGGGAAAAAAATTACAGCAATGTAGTTGGACAGTAGGTGAATCACTGTGACCTACCCATTGCTCTGTTTTCTCATGAAGTACTTTTTCCATTGAATCACAGAAACAGATGTTCTAACACCACCATGCAAAATCTTCTTTTATCATCTGTCAGAAAAAGGAAAAGAAGCTGCACCTTAATGTTAGTTGATGGACAGATACTGTACTGGTGTGGCACAAACTTCACTTTCCACCACAAATAATTAAAAACCTATTTAAGGGTGCTGCGTGTCCCATCCATCTTAGCTGTTTAACGAGATGTTGTGTCCTGTTCTCTCATTTTATAGCTCCGAGTTCTCCTCCAGAAGCCCTCTCTGTAAAACAGTTGTCGGGTGTCACTGTGAAGTTGTCATGGCAACCTCCGCTGGAGCCAAATGGAATTATCCTCTATTACACAGTTTACGTCTGGTAAGATTTTCTGGAAGTAGTTCTGAGGATAAATATTAATCTGTAACCTATCAGGAATGTTAGGTTTTTCTTACACAATGTGTTGATTACACATTTTTGGAGAACGAAATGCTGTTCATCCAGCACTTAAATTACTAGCTTTTTGTGTACGCAAATTCAGATATAGAGTAGAAGCTGAAAATCGGGGTATTAAATATTTTGTTTGCGTTTTCGACATTTTTCTTAAGGTTATGTTATGGTAAATGAGCTCAAATTTAAATTAGAGCATGGCAACTCTTTCCGTTATGATGTTCTTAGGCCTATTGTAAGGCAGGGCACAAGCCTATGCTAATTGTCAAGGAGATTTGAAATGGGCTTAAACTAGAGAAATACTGCTTCCTTTTGTAGAAAGTGTGTAAGAGCAACGTTAAGAGCCTTTGCATGTGCTATCAGTTATGTCTACTGCTATACTTTATAAAATTCATAGCAAAAAAGTATTTTCAACAGATATTTTTTATTTACTGTGTTATTTTTTTTTCTGTCTATCCTTTCTTTTTCCTTATTGTTTTTTGTTCTATTATCCCTCCTGGGATCTTTTTTCACCTTTACGAAGGAGTTTTGTCACTTCAAAATTTGCAGCTTCTGTCTCATTCTATGCATAACACAGTTTGGTCTAGTGATGTGGCATCTCTACAAACATCTATGTATAACTTCTACTGGGAGTAAAAACACATTGTTGTTGATCACTTTTAATATATTCCATGTATGCTCTACCATTCTATTACCACTACTAAGGTGCAGGAAACAAATGCTTCACCTTATGAAATATGAACCAGTTGTGTAAATCAGCAGTCATTATAAAAACACTACTATTGAGCTTACATTTATTATTTTAATGTTACTTGACAGTTTTTTCAACAGTTCCTATTTAATTTATTATATTATTAAATTATAGCTTCTAGTTAAGTTGGTGATAAAGTGAACAGGAGTAAGCTGCTCTTTACAAAAAAGTTACATTTCGCTTGTCTTGTTACTTCTGTATTGGTGAGGTCTGGTGCTCTTTAACCACAAAAACCATTAAATCAAAGACTGTCCTCTAGCTAGGAGAGAGTTACATCACAATAAGGATTATAGTTTTGACACAGGCTTTGCTCAGACTTGAGGTTATTCAACTTGTCATCCTTATATTACCTTAAAGCTTGCTGGTTTTGTTATTATGACAAATGAGTTAGGAACAATTTTTTTTTTAAATGTTAATTAATCCATCTTTCTAAATATTTGAATTAAGCAACCACAAAAATTTTGCAGTAAGCCTTGTCCTTTTTCCTTGTGTATTCTCCTTGCTCTGCCTCATCTGTCTTTACTGTACCATTTCTAAAATTAGAGAGGCATTAGGTATCATCTTGAGGCAAGGACATCGGAGAAAAACTCCCGTTCCCTTCAAAGGGGTCACAGCTTCACTCCTTCCTTGGAGGTCTTTTTTGGGGGAACGAGGAGGGAGGAAGGAAGGGACTACTAAGTATTTAATAGAATTGTCTGTACAATTTCATAAAATGTGTTGCAGGGTAAGATTTGGCATGGCAAACTGCCGTGCCATAGTTGCTGCTTTTGGGAGGCATTCAGCGTATTTTGGAGGAGTTTGTTAATCCCAGAGCTTCTCAATAAAGCAGAAAGAGGAAGGTTAATACAGATGTTAAATAATTCTTCCTTCTTTTAAATATATTGCAACAGTTATAGAGAATTTGGTAACCTTTCTTTAATGGATTTGGAACAAGAATCCACAGCTACTGGAATAAAAAGGGTAATATCTGTAATGTTTTCATTGTTATTTTTCATGGAATTTGTCTCAGAACAAGGTGGTTTTGGGTGCTAGCGGGTAGCAAAGCAGCTTTCTGCGTGTCCTGAGTCTACAAACCTATACTCCCTGAGTCTACAATTCTAGAGTATTAAAAGCATAATAACAAAACTGCTGAACTTGTACATAGCTGTTGTCTTTTGGCATTATCCTGCTCAGCAAAGTTTTGTGAGATAATTGCTGACTAGATCTACTCTGAGACAGAGATTTTAAAGAAAATATGGTACCTGTCTTTGTCAAGTGAAAGTATGCAATTTCTTAGAGCCTCTTTTGTCTGAGTTTTTGAAAGATTTCATTTGAAACTTAGTATTATTGTTACTCATTAAAATTCCTTGGCTTAGTTTATTCTGCTAGGCACTTTCTTATTGTCTGTGAAGACTGCACTCACTTTGATCAGTGTTTTCTTGTTTTGATTGCAATCTCATTTGTTTCTAAACAGAAAAGCAACTTTTCTTGAAACATCTCAAGCTTTTGTTCTTCTTAACTATGCCCGATTGTGGAAACATTTTGTGGCAAATAACAAGTTATGAGAACGCAATTACTCAGAATAAAAGTGTTTGCAGCACTAAGCTGTGGATTTCCCTCTTAAATTATAACCAGCTATGTTCTTCCATACTAAGAATATATCGGGCAAAGATCCAAGAAAATATGTCTTGTCTGTGTATAGAATTTGATAACTGCAGCTGCAACCTTTTATATCTCCTTACTGACTATTAAAAATGTCAAAAGTTTGGGAAAAATGTAAATGCTAACTTTCTCTGTTACCAAGAGTGTTTCCCATGTCGAGAGACATTCCGCTCAAAATCTGAAAGGGATAGGGAGAATTTAGATTTTTCATTATCATACAATTTCTCATTCCAAATGTTTGTTAATGTAACTTTATTTCAGGAGTATCAGATGGTGATCTTTGCTAATAGGTCATTCATTCATGTATCAAAGGTTGAAAATCAGCCCATCTAATAATTTTGAATCAGCCTTTTTCTTAATTTTTTTGTTTTTGCAGAATTGGAACTCAGTCTCTTTTTTGTGACGAGCTCCCCAGCAGCTCTTGGAGCTCGATACTCAGTTTTACTTGTCAAATTATCATCCCTGTATGAAATTCCATTAAACACACAGGGCACCCACTCATACAGAAATCGTTGCAGTAATGGACTGATGGCTAGCTTTTTTTATGCTCTTATTTTTTCAAAAAAGTTTAAGTTAGTTTAATGAAGAATAGCAGACTTTTTGAATTCAAGTTAGTTGTTTCTGTATCCTATTTTACTTTCTGATAATAATTTCATACCTATGCTAATACCAGCGTTTTATTTATGTTACATCTTACAGTCTTTCTAGGCGGGTTTTGACCTGACTGGAGTTCCATCCTGATCCCCTGCTACATTCCACTAGAATTAACTCAGCACCAGCTAATTCCTGTTCCGTATCATCTTCTATTATTCCATTTATAACTTCAGCCTTCTGACCAATTTCACAGAGTCACAGTAGGGCATGCTCCCTGCTATAATCTTTTTATATTTCGCTATTCCTGTCCAGGGAGACAGTTTAGTTATGCCCTACTGTGTCCTTCCCAAGGGTACCACAACCATTTGATAGCGGTTACTAGATGGACATACTTCTTCTCCTTGATATTCCTTCCATATAATCAGAATCAAATAAATGTCTTTGCTGATATAATTTACAAATCAATTTCTGTGGGTTTTGGGGCTTTGTTTTTGTTTGCTTGTTTGTTTGAAGGCAAAGTTGAGAGCCCTATTGTGATGCAATGGTACAAAAGTGAGCTTTTCAACATAAAAGATGAAAGTTATCTCAGTCTTTTTTTTTAAAGCCTAAAATATTTGTATTTACCACAATATTTCAGTTTTCAGTTTTATATCATATGCTACATTTGTATACATACAGAAAGTATGTGTACATGTAATTAATAAAATACTTTTTCTTTAGGAATAAAATGTCAAAAAGGAGTGTTAATGTAACAGAAACATCATTGCAGTTCACAGACCTGGAAAACAACTATGAGTATAGTGCTTACCTAACAGCCAGTACAAGATTTGGAGATGGCAACATAAAAAGTGATACTATAACATTCAGAACTCCTGAAGGAGGTAAGCTTATATATAGTACGACTGTTAAACTTCATTCAGCCTTAAATTTCTGTCAGCCTTATTTAAGTTAATAAAGCTACTGAAGTAGAAGAGTCATTTGATGTGTCAAGAAGAGACATTCTACCTGTCTCTGTGTGTGTGTGCCCCTATCTTTGTGTATAATGTATCTATGGCTCTATAAAATTATGATGGGTATTTCCGTTAATTCAATGAGCAAAACTTCGCTTTTCACTTCAATACAGATAAGATTAAAATAATTTTATTTTCAATTTTTAAATAGACCAAATTAATTTTATAGAATATTTTAATATCTCTTTGTTTTATCTTGCTGTGACACAACTTCTGATAGGGAAAATCCTCTTTAGAGTTTCTCTCATAAGTCTGAAATGGTTTTAATTTGCAAAAGAAATCTGTAAGTTTACACTTACTTGTTTATTCTATTTTAATGATTTATACTTTCAGCATAGTAGATGACTTTCATAAATGGTCATACTATATACTGTACTTTGAAAGTAATTCAGTTTAATTATTTCTGGTTTTCTCATCAATTATGTTACTGCAATCTGTTCCAAAATGGATAGTATTTGAGAATCATTCTGCACAGATAAACTGACCTCCCAACAAACAGTCATTGGCAGGATTAGCATCTATCCAAGCCATCCCTCAAAAAACTCTCTAAATCACCAGGTTGTAGGTGTTCTCAGTCTTTGCTATTGAAGCTGGAAACTTTAACTGACATTTTAGGGCAGGATTTTTAGTAACTGATCATGGAGTTCCACCTCCAATTAATATTTTAGTATTTTATACAAACTACAGCGGCACAAAGCAAGAGAGATAAAATAACTTAAAGTGTTCAGTAATCTACTACCTGTTGTGTAGAGCACTTTCTTGGATGGCAAGAAATACGGATTTAAATTCTCTTACAATGACTTAAGGAACTGAATTTGAGACTCCTACATCACCGTGTTACTGAGAAGGACCATATGCTGCTATTCTGTACTGGATAGGAGGAGAGGCTAATTGAAGATGACTTATAGTATCCTTCCTGCATGTTTAATAGGCTGAGGAAAAAACAGAAATCATTATACGGCCCAAGCTTATCTGGTTTACCTTCATGAGTTGGGAGCCTAAATTCTGTTTATAATCATCAAAGACATAAAAAACCCCTTTTAATTTAGGTTTTCTGAAACAAATCCTTTTTTCTTCTATTAACTACATATGGAACATAGAGGCCTAACTCAGTCAACTTCCATGTCTGCAAATTAGACTTTCCATGTGCCCAAAGCAGTAAGTATGGGACAAATTCTATAAGAAATTAGTATCTCTTTACAAATGCAGCCAAATACAAATGCATCTGAAAAAAATAGCGTTTTAAAAATTTATATGCATCTGCTGTTTTAGTTCATAATTTCACGAAGCAGTTTTTTACCATAATCAGAAATATATTTAATTTGACATAAGATGATGTCAAATCTATAATGTATGTTTCTTGGGCACTAGAGTGTACAAAGCATTGCATTATGTATGCTAAAACTTAAAATTTTTCCAGCACCAAGTGATCCACCGAAAGATGTTGTGTACAGAAACCTTACTTCCACATCAATAGTGCTATTCTGGTCTCCTCCTCTAAAGCCTAATGGAAATATCCGGTATTACTCAGTTTATTTCAAAAATAGTTCTGGAATATTCATACAGGTAAGTTTATATTGTTCTTTTGTAGAATTCAATCAAGCATTCTAATAATTCATTAAAGATTAAATAAATTTTATAGTTCTAAAGATACTGGTTTTTCATATTTCCTTTATCACAAGGCAGTTTTTTAACTTATAAAGACATCTTGCAATCTTATGTGTTGCATTGTGCATCTCATTGGACATTCATACCATTAAGCATGAAAGCAAATAGGTTATGTGTAGTATTGCATATTGCCAAGATTGTATGTACATTTATATACGCATATACATCAAATACATACATACATATGCACAACATGGATAGATAAACACAAGACCTGTTACATTCATTGCACATCCTTAAGACTGTCTATTTTAGTCTATCAGTCTGAATAAATTTCTGTAGGAGTTCTGTTTTTATGGTACTGAAAATAAGAAGATAGTGTCAAAGTAGTAAATACATTATTATTTTATATTGTTGTTACTCTCTAAAGCAAATAATTGTTTAGTATATTGAATCAAAGATACTGAGATTCCTGAGTTAAAGCATAAAAGGCAAAGAAAAGGTTATTTAACTTTTTTTGGTGATCCACACATTTCCCTGTAGGTTTTTTTTGTTGCTACATTCATCCTTAATTATGTACCATATTTATTAATTGTATATATAGTTTTTCTGTTCTCCTTTCTAAGAGTATATTATGATACAGAAATATAATTAGAAGAAATAAGCTTCCTTTACAGGTCACAAGCTTTATACATGTGGAAGAAAACAAAGAAATATAAATTCGTGAAGAAAGTAATGTATGACAAATTACCTGTACTGCATAACTTGATGCTCAAGATATGTCTAGTGTGAGGTATGCGTGTGTCTGAGGATAACTGGAAAAGAAATATTAACAAATTCTACAAATACCTGTCTCTGAATAATTGCTGACACACTTCAGTGTATGCACTTCTTTGACTTCTGTGAAGCTGTGTGGTTGCCAGGCTCTGTCTGCGTAGTTTCAGATGCAAGCAGGACCATGTCACAAATTCACATTCTGATGAGATTAAAATCAGGGCTACAGTTCAGCCTCTGCTTGCACACACTACTATACCGACAACATTTGTCTTAGCCTAACAAATCCCTGGAGAAACCTTTTCACCAGTGCATTACTTGAACTAGTCCAACCTATGAAAAGTGTCTATATTTATCTAATTCTTGGACAACTCAAGTGATTTTAGAGGAGGACTAAGGACTTGGGCTATTCCTGCCTTTAGGAAGGTGGAACTCTGAGGTGAATGATTAGGGTGAAACTGGCACGCTGAGAGCTATAATCCCTCTGCATGTGCCCAGGCCTCTGGAAATGAAGGAACAAGTTAGGGAAGATGGAGCACCAGTAGCATTGCCCAGCAAGGTGAGGGTCCAGTTTTATAATCGTGTGATGTAGTTGGGCAAGGAAAGGATGGCAGCATGAGTGGAAGTTACTGCTGCTTTGGCATATTATGTGGTGAATGGCAGAAAAGTGCTGACAGTAGCTCTATTTCTAGGTGTGGAAACTACAATTTTTGCCCTTTCAGCTTTGATTTTTAATCCATGCCTCTGCCATCAGAGGATAGGTTTCAGCTGCTGTTGCATCTGTCTCTTACTGGCCATGGGAGATCACCATTAATCTCTCAATTCATGATCCACTCCTAATCTGCCTGCTCCCCTTAACTCCCTCTGCCCTTCACATACCTCTCTGTTCACTATTTGACATGGCAACTACAGTATCTACATTGCACTCCTATTCTGTACCTTGGCATTCTTGTGGTGCAAGACATATTTCAAACAGAAGGAAAAAACAACTCTCCCCTGCTTGTTTCTGTCACATATTTCGTATTTCTCTTTTTGAAAAAGGGAAATACTTGTATGGAAGCCAGCCTGATAGATAGATATAAAATATATATACAACATATACAGACATATATGAGTATAAGCACACATAGAGCCTACAACTATCTGTAACTTAGAAGTTTAACTCTGTAGTTGCAGAGTCTGTTGGTGAGTTTTGTATTGCACACATTGGGAAAGAAGTAATCCTTAGTTGGAATACTCTGCACCTAGGTATTTTCAGTTTGGGAAATGATAGAGGAGAATTAAAAAATTAGATGATCTTTTCACATTCTAGGAACCCCACCTTCTCAGACATGCTGCTGTAGGCAGCCGTTTCTGAAAAACCACCCTGGCTGAAGAGTATCAAGCAAATTAACATCTTCCAATGCTGTCATCATCTGAAATAGATATGAGAGTCGTACTAAAACTAGTGCTATTCTTTTGTCTCAGTTTCTCACTTCTCCTCACATATTCTCAAACTCTTCAGGCATAATAAAGCCTAATCAATATAAAACACTGATTATGAATGTGTTAAAAACGGGATTAGTAGCTGCAGAGTAAATAATTTTGTTTAAGGAGGAAAACTCCAAAAGACCAGAGACTCCTTGACATGATGATGATGCAGAAACCTGCAAGAAAAATAATTTTCCTTTAAAAATAAAAAGTTACATAACTCTGTAGGGCAGAAAAATAATGTATAGTTTCCTTGTTTTACAGATCTACATGAAAAATCACACTGTGGCTGTCCAGTCTCAAGGCCTGGGATGCTCAGACCTAGGATTCAGAACCAGAACAGCAGAAGGAAAAATTTAGTGATGGAGATTAGATTTGAGGATTTTGGTAGATGAGTGGGCTGTTTCTATGGGGATGCTGACAGGTTGTAAAAGAAAGTGTCAGAGAGGGAGGAATGGCTGGTAGCCAAATAGAAGAAGCCATGGCTTGCACTAAGCTAGGTTCAAGTTCATCTTTATCTTTCATCTTCTGCTGCCATAGTCCTAGAGAAAATGCTACTTTGTGCTTTATGTTTACTACTCTGCCCCAGTGCCATAAAGATATGTTCATGTTCACATCACTTTTCTGTTACACTGCTGTATTACTAAAGTTCAAGCTTTCACTCTTTGCAATAGCAGTTCTGCAAGTTTTGCTCGCCAGTTCCTTTCACAGTGCTTGAAGCAATCATACTACTGACATTCTCAGTCTTATTGAGGAAAGAAGTCAAATGATCTATGGAAGTAATTGTCTCATTGCTAAATACTTATCTATAAGAGATATCATTGACTTGAATAAATTTTTTTATTCTATCTCTCTATGCTTGTGTTTTGATTAGCAAGACAGTGGGAAGGGTGCTACTTAAAAATATAATTTTATGCTTGGAGAAAGTTCTCCAGTGTTGGTTGCTCTGCCAAACCAGGCAGTGGAACCAGCAACTAAGCTGAGAACAGAAGCCCTCTGCCCTGCTAGAGACTGAACGTTAGACCTCAAATCATCCAACTCCAGTACTTCAAGCCAAACTAACTGAACATTTCTGGTTACAGTTCAAAATAAAGTTCAACTTGGTCTGCCCTTGGGATGTTGACAAGGGATGCAACCAATGTGCTATGTTAACTTCATCAGCATAACCAAAATGGGGATAAAAGGGGAACTTCCCTGGAATCCACTGCAATTTTTTTAAAAGAGGGCCTCAGAATGGTACAGCACACAAAAAGCAAATATCTTCACCTAATTAGGTACTGGAACAGTGTGTACTATGCTCCTTGAGGGATGGCTTGGATTAGCCATCAGTGTCACCACTCTCACCTGATTGCCAGAGCCAAGTACGTGATCCTCTAACCCAAAATAGCAGTGCAATACAGTGAACCTAAAGGAGGAAACAGAATGTGGGAAAAAGGTTAACAGTGAAGAACAGCAGCACTGTGTTGTCTGTTTACAACTAATTACAGCTTGATGCCACTGGAAATTTCTGCTGCTTCCTGTGGCAAAGAAGATACTACTTTCTGCTGACACTTTCATGGCCTATGTGTATTGCTTACACTTAGCTGCTTTTAATAATCTGATACTTTGCTATTTCAAAACTTCTTTCATGTATGGATGAAGAAGGGGACAGAAGGAAGAATTTCTTCAGCTGTAGCCAAAAATCCTAAGCTGTTTGCTTTCATCTGCAGCCACAGTTAATTGTAAAACTTCCTATAGTGTTCTATCCCCAGGGTGCAATTAGTGCAAGTTTCATCTTTACTTGGTTTGTACCCACACAGTTCTTCCTGCTCACCCTTACTCTTAATCACGTGTTCATTCTTTTCTAATATTTTGTCATATCAGAAGCTTGAGGTAGTCCCCAGTGATCAGCCTTTGGGCTCCTCTTAGAGCTGTCTCTTAAAACAGTTTTTGTTGAACCACCAAAAAGCCTATTTTTGTAGCTTTCAGGATGGTTCACTGCACACTTAACTGGCAGACAGCTGACTAAATTGTAAAGGTACACTTTTTAAACAAGAGTTGGATTTTCAGCTGTTCATACCAATAAACTCCCATTAAATCCAGAATCAAAACTTGATGTGGTTTGTTTGATATTTTTTTTACCTTGAAAACTGAGAGAATTATTTAAGGTCCTTTTTTGATCTTATTTTAGATATTATTATCATTTACAAATTATTAATAATTACAATATCTAATAGTAGGAGAGTATTAGAATGAGGCTTCTGTATTTTCTTGTCTTTTTTGTAAAGCAGAGCTCTTCCCAGCCTTTCCCAGTTATTTACATGAAGATAGTATGAGCTTCCATCTACGTTTAGAAGGAAGTCATATATTAAGGTGTAATTTCTTAGTGTTTTGCTTGATGTTGACTTAATCTCATCTTTCAGACAAACTTAGCAGTGTGCTTTAAGTCTGTTAATAGGACTAGATACAGAAAATTATGCTGCCAATTTGTGCAGGTTCTGTTCTGCGTTCAAAACAAAAGCTTACATTTTCATTGCCAAACAAACCGCTTACTTATTTATGTTATGTGAGCACTAGTGACTGTAGGCAAAACTAGGACTTCAGATATTGGTACAAAAATCTCAGGCACATGAAAGAGAGTATCACCTCTTGCTTTCTGCAGAAATAAAAGAATTTTGCCTGTTCAAAAAAATTGGTGTAGTGTTACCTTAGATATATAAATTGATACTTATTGGTAACAGACATCAATGTTGTATACTGAACTATCAGTTAGTACAGTACTGACTCAACTGTTTGGTAGAGAGTATCACAGTGACTTCTTCAGTAGAAGCTTTCCTCAAGAAATGTAACACATTTTTTAAACATGCAGTTTTAGTATGCCTGTGTTTGTATGTGGAATTTCTGAATTTAAATATGCAAATATTACAGTCACCTTCCTTCTGTTTTAGTAAGTCTACTATCACAGCCTCTGTTTTTTTAGGAAAACATTTAATTTAAAGTTAGCTTTGATTTTAAGGAGGCAGAGGGTGTGAATAAGATGTGACACCAAAAATAGTGGACAGGCCAAACTGGAATGTGTACTGGGCAATTCATCAGGAGGTTGAGCAAAATCCATCTCACCATGAAAACACTGCTATGTAAAAAAATTAGGAGGACTTCTTTGGTCCTAAGACGTACTGCCCATGCCATCTGCTCAACAAGGCAATGTGGCTGCTGGAGAGGAATGATAGTGACTCTGAATCTGGAGCAAAGCTTTCACTTCCTACCCAGTGTTGGAGCTGAATATGCTTATGGGGTACAAGACTTCTTGACAGCTTTCAAATCATGAACCAAACTGCTTTGGATCATCTAAGTCAGGTTCCCTTAAAACAGTGAATGATTTGACACATTTACTTATGTGGTGGATCTGACCTTACGTAAATAATCTGATTTATATTTTTTTCTTTTCAGTTTTCAAAATGGTTCATTCCAAGCAGGAATTGCCTCCTCCAAGGGGCTGATCTAGAGCACTAACCTATTGCTACAGTCACAGCTTTAGTGGAATTTTTTATATAGTTCAAAAGAAAGTGGGACTTGGTTCTGGTGAAATCCTTTTGTTAACAAGTAACTGCACAAAGAAAATAAATTCTGTCAGTTCCTTCAGTTCAATGCAATCCACTGGGTACAGATGTTTGCTTTAGAAATAATGGTGCATTTTTAATGGAAAGGATGGCTAACAAAAGGAACATTTTATCAAGTGGTGCCATGACATCTGTGCCGCTAGAAGTTTTAAATTCAAAATCAGACAATTTTCTGTAATATTTTTTTAAAAAGAACTACAATAAATTACTTGAGTATTTCAGTAGAAAACATGGCTCATTAGGAGTCAAAGTGTAGGTTTATGTCTCCTGAACACTATGGTGAATCATATCTGTTGGTTGTCGTGATGGCATAATGGAAAGCTAGAAAGATAAATCGATGAATAAATAACATTTTCAATGTCAACATTTTTATTCTCTTTAGAATTTCACAAGTTATGGTAACGACAGCGATGTCAGTGTGCCTCAATCTGCAGTTCTGGGGGACTTGGCAAAATACAGCCATTATACTTTATGGTTAACTGCAAGCACATCTTTTGGAGATGGAAACAAAACCAGTGAAATAATAGACGTGTATACAGATCAGGACAGTAAGTTAATAACTCTTTAATGCTCAGTGTATATCAGTGGCTCCATTTATGAAATATTCTCTAACTTTAAAATTATTTTATGTTATTATGGCAAAGTTAAAAATTCAGTAAGTGCTGTTTTCAACAGTGCAGTATTTTTCTTTGCGAGGAAGACATTGTGATCCAAGTCTTTGCTTTTTGACAGTAAGAACATAGTTCACAAGCTTCTTTTTTGGATACAAGCAGGACTCTTTTTTAAAAAAAATTGAACATAGACAGTTATTCATATATGCCTTCAAAATATTTTGCTTTTGATAGTGAAAAATAAATAATTTTTTTAAAGTTGTACAAAATACTAGAAATGTAGTTTACAGACTAATCATACTTTGGGCATTTAATTCTGTTTTGATTTTGAATGCTTTATTACTGTAATCCATGCATTTGTTTTTTGCTTATTATCTCTCATAGTCCCAGATGGTTCTGTTGAAAATCTGGTCTATCAAAACATTTCCTCATCTTCTGTAAATGTAAGCTGGCTTCCACCATCCCAGCCAAATGGCTTAGTCTTCTTTCATGTTTCTCTAAGTTTATTGCACCTGGGAACCAGTAAGATATTGTCTTTCCTTACTTATAACACAAGCATCATTTTTGACAATCTGGAGAAATACACTGATTACAATCTGAAAATCACACCAGCCACTGAAAAAGGATCTTCTGAACAGCATTCTCTGAGTCTGCATATAAGAACTGATGAAGATGGTAAGATAAGTGTATTTTATTCATTCCTAATGAAGTGAAAAAAAAACACAAATAGCTTTCTAAAAAAAAAAATTGTATTTATTTTCCTCAGGTTACTTAAAGCTTTTTTGTTATACAGTGAGACAACTGCTACATATTTCTGTGTTGAGACCACAAAATAGAATTTTCCATTTAGAGCACAACTTTAACTGATAGGTAAAAGACATTTTTCATTGTAACTCACATTCTTCTGAGATTATCCTTGTTTTTCTCTTTCTTATTTCTTCACATAGTCCCAGAATCAGCACCTATAATCAAAACATTTTCAAATCTGTCAACTACCTCAGTTATGCTTTCCTGGGATCCTCCTGTTAAGCCAAGTGGTATTATAATAAGTTATGATTTAAATTTACTTGGGCCAGAAAGGAATAACTCATTCTCTACCACCAATAATTTTATCATCTTGGAAGACCTTCTGCCATTCACATTATACAGCATTTATGCAGCCTCAAGAACAATAAAAGGACCTGGTCCATCAGCTGTGCTTCACTTCTACACAGATGAGTCAGGTGAGGAAATTCAATCCTAACCAACTTTGAAATATTTGCCCTATGGTATTGCATCCATCTCAGATCTGAACATCAGACCTGGAGGAGTTGAGATGATGGATTTATTTTCTCTTGGTCTGCGAGTGAAGAGCTTTCAGAAGAAGGAAACACTACAAGCAAAGTCTTTTCTGAGTTCTCCTCCTCTCACAACAGTGTGCAAGAGGAGGTCACATTCTGCATAGCATTACACAAATAACTCCAAGGAGAAATGTATTTTGCCTTTGGAATGTGCTACAGTTTGCCAAGTGTCAGGGATTTTGAAGCAAGCAACAGCACCTTTCTCTTCGTTCCCCCCACTGAAAAATGATAAAACAGGGAAATATTTCTGACACACTCTTACAGGTCTCCTTTACATGGACCTCCTCTCTCCTGCATGGTAAATGACATATCTTGTAAATATCTATTGAGTTCCGATGAATTGTATAATGTAGGAAGCAAAGTGTATCACATTCTAGTAATATTAGTGATACAACTTTTGTTAAATGGCTCAGTTCTGACAATGCTTAAGTGATGAATATATTTATTAGATCTCTAAAAAGATCCCTTGCTGACTAAACATGTATTCCCGATTAATGGAATTTGTTTCATAACAAAAAGAAAAAAAAAGATAAAAATAGCAATGAAGTACTATTTTACTGAGTTCAGATATAAATGGTAACAAATGTATCTCTGTTCTCCTGCCTCTCCAAAGTGTTTGGTTTTGCCTGGATTATTTGTAATTTGGAACTCAAAAGCATTTCTCTTTTGCAGTGCCATTAGCTCCACCTCAGAATTTGACCATTACCAACTACACTGCAGATTCTGTGTGGCTAAAATGGGATCCAAGTCCTCAGCCAAATGGTGTTATTATGTTATATAATTTTAAGATTTATAAAAACAACACTGAAACACTATTTTATCAGGTATGTTCATAATTAATAGTGTTTAATATTTTTTGGCAGATAAATACATTTTTCATGCTTTAAGAACAAAATATATTACAAATACTTTAAATGTCTGTTCCTAGAATTATGAAGCTTCTCTAAATTCCTGTTTGTTAAAACAGTTTACTTACCGTCGCACCGTGCCTGTAATTCGATTTTTAAAATTAGAGAGAAAAAAACCTGTTAAGTTTTAATTTGTTTGAGCTTCTAATATTTCATCAGTGGTGATCTTTATTAAACTTTAGTTCATATTTCCGTGTTAAATTGATGTTAGAAAACGACAGAAGTTACTTGTTTTGTGGCTACCTTTGTTTAGCTATTTTGTATCTGCAGACTTTCAAGATTCAAAAAGAAAGATATTCTTAGTCATCTTGAAAAATGGTTAAAAACTATTTAGAGGTTTGCATTTTTTTACTTTTGCAGAATAAGAATAACTGGGGAAAAATAAATAAAGAATAAGAAAAAAATAAATAGATGACATAAAATTATGTTCAAAAAATTAGTGAGGCATTTATATCTGCTTAAATCTGGTTGCTTGGATGGCATCAAGAAATGCGCCATGAACTGTAAAGGCAGCAAGCTGAGGCCAGGATTACATCTCAGGCTTAGAAACTCTATAGTGACTTCTGTTCACCTGAGACACTTGTAAGAGCTGCAGGGAAGCTACATTGCTGCAGTGAGATATGATTTTAAGACCTGCAGTGAGGCATGACTGTGAGGAGCTTAATTATTCCAACTCCCTCAGCAGTACAGTCCTTATTGCAGAGACTTTGCATGCAAGGAAAGTGCTTGTGCTGTTGCAAAGCGTATGCATTGTGGACATCAGTCCCCATGGAGTAGCCCACTGTGCTACCCTTTACTCAGTCTGCTGTTACTCCCCGTTGTGGAATGACGTGCTGGCATCACCTCAGTTTCTTCCAGAATCCTTGGAAGAGGGGGAGCACAGTACACATATGGAAAAAAAACAGTGGTTTCTTTGGAAATGTGCTGCCTTTGGAAGCACATTCTTTGGGTGCTCGTGGAGGCCACCAAAGATTATTCATGTCCATGAGGCATACTCAAACCCAATTGGAATACAGAAACTGGACAGAGCACTTGAACGTGTCTACTATGCCCTTCGTTTCTTCATGTTTTGTAACATTATATGGGCAAGAAATTAGATTTAGGTTGTGGCAGCAGGACAGACAGAGCAATTTATATACAAATATTGTAGTTAGGCGCAATAATTCTCTGAAAACATGGATCCCACAAGATGTTTCACAGATTTTCTTGCTGAAATTCAGCCCTTTCCCTGATGCCATTATAGTCTTCTCAACATTTGCATAAAGTATGTCTTGTATGCTCTTGGAAAAACAGCTACAAGGCACTGGACTGTGTTTTATAGCTTTTTACATAGCTTTTAATCAGTCTGTGTGTCTAGCTCAGGTAAAGTAAAAGAAACAAGAAGCTCTGACCCATGACCTCTTCCACTGCAGAGCTGTAGTAAAGGAGTAAAAAGTGAGAGGAGGTTGATGTGGCAGTGTGGAGGTTACAAGAGTTTTCAGTATTGGTTAAAAACAAGGCATATGTGGGGTTAATCTGTTCTAACAATGCTATGGTAATTATGATACCATCCTTTGACATATTTTCCTCACAAGCCACAGTAAGAGAGGGAGAGGAAAAAGGTAAGGAAGGAAGAATTTGACCCTGCATTCTTTTTTGTTGAGCTCAGGGACTACTTTGAAAGCTACTCAGAGTAGAAGAGGCAAGACTATGGCTCTAAATCTTCCATTCATTTCAGTGGGTTCAAGGTGAGGCCCACAATGTTTATACAGATAAATTGTATAATAATAGTATTTCCTTCCTTAAGAACATTTCAGGTTCAAACCATGAGGCAGTCCTTGTTGGATTAGAACCATTCAGCCCCTATTTTATCAGTGTCTCTGCATTTACCAAGCTTGGAAATGGCAATCAGTTCAGTAATGCTGTCCAGTTTACAACGATGGAATCAGGTTAGATGTGACTTTTTGTAAGCTGCAGTTCTGTCTATGCATATTTTCTTTGTATGGCTGAACAACAGTCTTCCTTTTCTCTCCAAAGAAAACGTAACATAACCCTATCTCATTGTCTTCTGCCTGTTCACATTCCTATTGTACCAGATAGTCTGGGTTTGAAGTTTGCTGTCGGAAGTGTAGAATTAGAAATGCCCTCATCTGAAATGAGAGGCTTATATGGCTACTATAAATCTTTTAATAGCATCACAGATAAAGGGAGGAAAATTAGATAGATATCAGTCTTTGCAGATCAAAGCGATAATTCAGATCCCTGTGAAAATAATTGAAACTTTAGCAGTATCAAAAGCAGCTGGACAAAAGATTGGCAAATGAACTGGAAATTGTATTAAACAAATACAAATTTTTAACATTTTTTAATAATTTATTTTAGGAAGGGAAGCTAGCCACTAATTAAATATCCTAATTTGTTAGGTCTTTTTCTTCCTGACAACTGGGGAAGACTATGCAACATAGCTGGCTTAAGTAATTACGGGCAGTTTTGTCTTGTGCCTTCTACATGTCTTTTGAAGTTGCAGGTTGTTTCAGAATGAGAAATCATATCATGTGAAAGTGTATATTCAGCATTCACTAAAGAGAGCCCAGGAACTCTGTGGGTTTGTGGAACTGGCCTTTGTGAGAAACCGTAGCTCCTTTGCCAGGTCAGAGCCATCCCCAGGCTCATGTACTTTATAGGGTCTGTCAGTTCCAGGGGACTAGCATCGATTAGAGGGCTGTGTCTGGACTCCCAGGTTCCTTTATATCGGCAGCAAAGGGAGCAGACAAGATATCAAAAGATCCCATAGGGTGACTACAGTTTTTCAAGACCACACTTCCAGTGCAATATTCTTTCCAGACCTGATAAAACAGGGGTTCTGGGGAAAATTATGCTGTTTATTGTACCCAGCAGTTACACCACCATGAGTAAAATGGACCATCACTGAGCTGGTTCAGGTTGACTGTTGGGTCCCTGTACCTGGGGGCTATCTTGTCCAAGAGCCATGGCCATCCATCAGTTGTCTCATTTCATCACTGACATTCCGTACTTATGGTACTTTCTTCAAAGTGCTGGAGAGACATTGCCCACAGCAGTGTGGTCTAGTAATTTTACAGCTTTTTCTCAGATAGTTGCATCGTTTCCAACTCAGATTTTGGGCAATTGCTGGATCAGTTCCTCATTGTGTTCATCTAAGGATTCTGTCTCTAGTCTTTTTTAAAAGTGCCAGTTAATCTGCTTTCTTCTGCAGATGCTGTTTTCTTTAGAGAATAATAAAAATTTATTTGAATGTTGAAAAGAAAATTAATAATTTTAAAGAGAATAATTTACCTCTCTGCATTGATAATGAACGTTTCCCTCTGTTTCTGTTAACTCACTGACAGTCTTTTTATTATTTTATGGATTTCTGAACATGTTTCAATAGAGGAAGTAGGTTGGGGCACCCCTCACTTTGTATTCATTTTCTCTTAGCTGGTACAGCCTGCACTGTAGCCCTTTCTGAGGTACTTTAATTTGTTGTTCCATTTTACCAATTGTTCACAGATAATTGCTCTATTTTCGGCATGAGTATTTAAGAACATTTACTATGTTTTATTAAATTTTTGTGGACGTTTAAAAAAGTTTCCAGCAAGAAAGTGGGAAACAGGAAGGTAATAACATTGATATGACAGCTCTGAAACCTGCCCAATGATTTCTGTGCAGGTTGTGCCTCTGCTGAAAGGACAGAGATGTGATACAGTGCCTAAAAGAAACAAAGCTAACATAAATAATGAACGTCTGCTGCTGATACTGCTGTGGAGTATGTATATGAGTTTCACACTATTGTGTGTGTTTTACTACCTGTTGATTAAAAAAAAAATGGCAAAAATACGAGCAGATGTGAAAATAAAATCGGAGCACACAGCTAGGAAAAAGCCAGGAAGATGGCCTCTCTTGCTTCAAGTACCGGTCATGTTCATAGTGGTTAGAAATGAACTATGATACATTTTTGTTCTCTCAATATGTTTCTTTTATAGTATCAATTTCTCTGCTAGTGGAATGTTTGACCCTTGCTATGAAGGCTGGATCTGCTTGTGTGACTATATTGTTCTGTGATTACCATTTTAATTGTGTGAGGAATGTTAATCTTTTGTGCATGTGTATCTTTTCAGTACCAGATGCTGTCCAGAATGTTCACTGTGTTGCAACGAGTTGGCAATCGATCCTAGTGCAGTGGGACCCTCCTGCTTCATCCAATGGTATAATAACTCATTACATCGTAACAGTTGAAGGAAATTCTACAAATTTTTCATCTTATGAGACTTCGCATACTTTTAGAAATCTGCTTTCGAATATTACTTATCAATTTAAAATAAAAGCTGCAACATCTGCTGGTGATGGTGAAGAACAGATTTGCAATGCCAGTACACTTCCAGAAAAAGGTAACAAATTATTCAAGTTAATTTTTTTGTTTAATTCAAATTATGATGATGAAACAAGGAGGCCTGAAACACCTGCTTCAATTCAGGCAGCTAAATCCTTTGTTGTTTAAATTTCATGCAAACAGTGAATGAGAAGGAACAGAGCTTGCTCTTTCTCCTCTTTTAGAGTACACTTGGTAATGAGAATGGAATTAATTGCCATTTAGAAAAGCACAGAGAGAGTACCTTTTCCTGTGTTGAGAACAATAAAGCTGTTCAGAATTTGGGTAATTAAGAAGTGTTTAACTTCTTCAAGCAGACTTTTGTCATAACTCTTGATGAATAGGATTTTTTAACAACTAAGAAAATTGTGAGCTAAATCCAAAGAAGAATGTAGACAGGGTTTTTGGCATTGGAGACAAAAATTGTCACCCAAAATCTATCTTCCTTTCTCTTTCCACGCACACTTCACACTTCAGTCCTGGCTGTGCTTTCATTTGGCACCTGAAACTTCCTTCTGCACTTGGAGACAAAATTATGTGCAAAATACAGCATTGCTTCTGTGTAAATAGCTATTTGCCCAGCTTATAAACTGGAAGTGCAGATGAGCTCAATGCCTAGTCTGGGAATTAAACGGCTGTTTCAGTTCTCTTCCCCAGTTAGGGATGCTTTCTACTCTTGGAATATTTATCCTGTTTTTTTCTTCTTCAGTGATAGTTCAGTATAACAATGAAAAGTAATGTTCAGCAAGTAGGATCTAGAACAAGACTTCACCTTCCCACTGAATTACAGGAGCAACTACCGCATTTAGTTCCTATTGATGTTTCCTCTTCAGTGATGTCCATTTATGCAGTGGAGTTGAGGAGGTCTTTAATTCAGAACAGCCGGATCATTAGGAAACTGAAGGAGGGGATGGGGAGGGCACAATTGTATCCCCTGGTGTTTAGGAACCAAACCTAACTTTCATAATACTTTAATTACTAAGTTACTGAAGAATTTAAAAGGTGAGTGGCAGCACTCATTCACGTATATATTTCAGCTGAAAGAGTGAGTTCTGCTCAGTTCTGTTGAAGAATAGATAAAGGAGTTCTGGATGACAAGTGGAGGGGGGCAGCTCTAATATGGACACTTGAATCAGACAATTAAACATGGAGGAGATCAGATTTACTCTTATGCTTGGACTTCCTGATCAGCATGCACCTCTTTAGGTTCAGCCTTTGGATCCCTCCTATTCACAAAGCCTTAGTGCCCCACTCTGTGCTTTAATCTCCATGCTTCTTAAAATTAGACTTGCGGATGTGCATGTCTGAATGAATCTAGACCACGGCTGTATCATTGGCTGAACTACTGCTGCTTTGGTTCCAGATCAAATAGCTGAGCTCCAAATGAGGACAAGCAAACAGCCCCTTGCTGGCGTAATGCAGCCAACATTGTGAAAATAACCAGGGTTGTACTGTGATGACTGCCCCTCCTCGTAATAAAATCCATCCCACTAGAGCCTGACCACAGCATCCCTATTTGAACAATGAGGTGGCACATTCATACCTGTTTCTGGTAAAAATGTTATCTCTAAATTGGTTTCCTCATCAAAAACAGACCCTCTACAAATTCTGACATTTTCTGATCCCTTCTGGTCCTCTCCTGTCTGGCTCCTTGGTAGTTTAAAACTTCTGCCTGGGTCATCAGCCCTCTTGATGGCTCAGAAACTTGTGTCCATCAGCAGGGTTTGAAATCCGCTTTTGAAGGAAGCATTGTTTAAATATTAGAGATGAGCGTACTCTGATTAAAACTGGATTTCTCTAAAACACAAAGGTCTTATAGGAGGCATATTATCATGTGGTACCGAGAAGACCAGGAGGCTTCCTAGGCACCTCACTTCTGGGAAAGTTTGTTGTTGGGATTTCTGAGAAATTTGGGGTTGGCTATTAATTAGTGCTTGAGGAAAGCCTGGAGAGGCTGTGGATGTGGTATTAAGCCTGGGCTTGAGACACTGCTAGTCTGTTGTGGTCTATGTTACATAGAGTTGTACTAACAGGAGGAAAAAAGTACTTTATTTTGCAACAACATGTGACTTATGTGTCTTATCACTGGGAGTTTTCCTAAGTGAAGGATTTATACTACAATACATGTATTTTTTGCCACATATGCTGCACAGACCCTTTCTTGCTGTTTTAACATTGGCTTACGTGTTGTTGCTTAGTCATATTTACAACAAACCAGTTATTATTAGGACATCTCCTTAACTCTGTGTTTGCATGAATTGTTTTGTGGTGACTGGGTACTAGGAATTGGAGATTCATGGTTCGGAATGGAAACAGTTTTAAAGCTGTTGTCAGCTTCTTATTTATGGTGGTCTAAGATTAGTCACAGAATATGTAGCCAGCACTGAGTCACTGACAATGCATTTATTTCTGACATAAGGTGAAATCGAATTTGGCTCAGTGTCTCACTGCATAGTGTTTGACCTTTACATTCTGAGCAAGATTATTTGCCTTTTTTCAGGTAGATTTGTTCGTATCTGGGTACAATTAAACATGAATCATGAAGATTAAATTTATGAGGAGATTAGTAGTGCTTTGTGTCTAATCTAGCTTCATTGTCATGGTAAACCAATTCTGCTGGACTGCAGTATGTTATAAAAATTGTCGACATTGTAGCAGTAATATTACTTTGTGTTTAAATATATTATACAGGGGATGAAAGATAATATAGCAAGTACACATGCATAAATGAGTTAGGATTTTATGACTGAATAGCTATCCTTAGATTATTTTCAAGAAAATGCACATATTAAAATGAAATTTAATTGAGATTTACTGAGCTTTTAGAAGGGAGAAAGAGCCATCAAATGGTAGGAAACTTCTCTAAAAGGCACACTGAAGCTGTGAAGATTCAGTTAACTCACAAGTCTGGAACAAGTGTAATAGTCATTCAGTTAAGAATGAAAAGAAAACAATTTAAAAAACACTTGAGGGATTCAAAGCGTGAGAATCAAAAGGAAACTGTGGCTGATTTCATTTTATTTAAATTTAATTTTTCTTCATAGACTTTATCCTTCCCTGAAAATATTAATCATGTTGATTATAGTTTTAAGACATGCAGAGTAGTTTTTCTATTCTTACTGCTAGTCCTACTTCATGTAACTGTACACAGAGTCTTGGAACGCGTTGAGGCCCCCATTGTACTGCAGTGACAGTCTCCACCATTTGTTTTCTACTAAACAGAGATTCGTTCAGAACTTATGTTTAAAAAAAATATGGCTAGGAATTTGTCCAGGAAACATTTTTTTAATTTAATCTCTGTGTAATTTTGCTGGCCAATACTAGCTTTTAGCTACACACAGAAGTATGCCCTATGCATGAAGGAGAGCAGTGCCTAAAAAGACTGGTAATGGAAAAGTTTCTTAGGTCTTTTGGTGTGGAGATGGCAAATTACTATAATCTGTTACTTGTGCACAAGCTGTCTGTACTCTATGCACAGGGGAACATTTAAAGTTTCTGGGTTTGTACCTCCAGGATGGAGGTGCCCAATGGAAAATGTAGGCCTTTTATTCATCCAGACCTGTGCACAAAATGTAGCATGGGCTTAAAGCCTTCTTCATATCCAATGAAATTCTCCGTTTCCTTTACCATAAATCTATTTCTTAGGATGTGGCAGCTCTATGAGTTGGAGTTTCATGAATTTCCTCATTAACTTGTGAAGAGAACTACAGATGCAGTGGAAGAAGTATTTAAGTCCATACCCTAAAGCGGTCCTTAGGACCTGAAGCATGATGTGCAGTCCAGTGTGTTGGCCTGGTTATCAGGAATCAACCTACTGCAGAGCCACAGCATTGGAAGTGGAAGAGCTTCGGTCTAATTGTCATGACTGCAGATAAGAGCAGTCTGTTTCACATCTTCAATCAATGCAAGTTCATATTTCCAGACTGTATTAAAGTAAAAGCATTCAGAAATTGCAGAGTGAATTATGACTAACAATCTTGGAAACACTTCTTTCCAAGATAACTGAAATGGATTTTTTAAAATCAAATTTCTATTTTCTTAATGTAATGTGAATTTTTTTATATATATCTTCTGATTATTTGGTATGTCCAAATGTCAGTTAGTAGCTTTGATGTTTATGGCAAATCTTCACTAGACAAATGCAATGTTTACTTTGTTGCTGCCAGTGAAATTGCATTGATGTTATTTTTATAAGGAGGTAGATAAAAATAGAAGAATCATATAGTGTAGGATGAAAGAAATATTTTTTAAGGACTAGGTCAACTCTAGATTGACTCTAGTCAACTCTAGTATAGGAAATGGTGGAGACATACATACAAAGCTGACATTGAAAGCATTTACAGGTCAAGTAAATGGTTTGCTGAAAAGTAGACAGTGGTCCCATTTGTTGGAAAGCTGAGCATTCTTGTTTAATATCCGACTGGAATACTAACAACTTTTCCCTACTTTTCTAAGCTTTGCTTCAAGGTGTGCATTTCTCCTTAGATTTGTAGAATTTGATTTTTCAGTGCTTAGATCCATAGTTAGAGATTACATTTTCTAATGTGCTGAGGACTAAGAGACACAATCCAATGAGGCTTTTTTAAAACGTGTTCTCAACTGTGCAATTTCCTTTAAAGCATGTCTGATAGTATCAGTCCTAAGTCATGGGAAAACAATCTACAGTTTTTTACATTTTTATGTTAGTAAAATCATTTGGGACCTATTTGCGCTGTACTTCTTCATCCTGAGCAGGACTTTATACCATGATGAGTGTCCCTGAAATCAGCAGTCTATATGAGAGTGCTATTTAGTATGGTCTGGGATATCAGCTTTACTTGGGGAACTCCTTTGAGTAACTAAGCTTTCAAAAATTAATAATCAATACAGAATATTCATTTACTTTTCAGAGACATCAATTTTCTGAAGACTCGTGCTGTGTACTCACTGGTATCTGTTCTGCTTTGTTCTTCACTTTCCTCCTGTTGATGCCCTTAATACCACGCAACAGACATCTAGGCTGCCGCTGTTCTTTTAATCCAAACTCCAGCTACAAGCAGCTGTTCTGTAGGCAGACTTTTTTTTATTAACTTTGTTAGGAACTATGCCGTATCACATTACCGTCTTCTGTTCCCGGCCTGCACAGCTGTAGTCATTGCTTTCCACAGAAGTCTTTACAGAAAGCCATAACTTCTCTCTTTTTTCAGTAGATTTTTTCGTGTGTGTGTCCTTTGCTGCCCTTCTGTTATCTTTGCATTGTGAGTAAGATTTTTTTCTACTGAGTATTTCTGTTGATTTAAACCAGTTCCACTGGCCCAGTTGAGCTTGACCTGTGTCTTTACACAGTCCTGGTGCTTTTTCTACCAGGAATTTCTTTTCATTTATCTTAATCTCAGAGCGGTCCACCAGCTTTGGAAGAGCTAATTAGCATTGCAGCCAGACGAGCGTAGGGAACCAGAGCCAAGATCTGTGAAAGTAACTTCTATTTAGGTGCTCAGCTTCCTGTCAACTTTAGTGGGAGTTCAGGCACGTAAATAGGTTTTAGGAGCTTAAAAGCCCATGTGGATCTGGCTTTAGGTGCTTTTGAGTTTGGCCATCATGTGAACAATGGTGGATGCGCCTGAAAATACCTCATTCCTCCTCTAGTCCAGAAACTGAATTCACCATCATTTCATGGTCAGCCTCTCTGCTAGCTCCTTGGCTGGCTTTCAGAAGCTGAATTAAAAGCTATAAAATGGAAAACAATAGAGTACATTGCACCAAAAATTTCAGACCTCAACAAACTCCCTACTCCCAGAGTCAGAGAGCAAATGCAATATAATTCAATAGAGAAAGACTGTCAGATATATGATGATGAGACTTAAGGGGTCCTACTCTTGATTCCTGGGAAATTTAAATAAGGGAATTGCACTAGAATGCCAGCTAGCTAATCAGGACACAGTCCTAGGCAATTAGTGTCCTGCACCAGCCTTTTTCATGCCTTTTCTTCAAGTGAACCTTTCTGGAAATCAGGAATAATAATGAAGTTCCTGTTAGGCACATATCAAAGCAGCAGTGTATCAGAGCAGATACATAAGTCTTTGTTACAGTTCCAGTTTAATCTGAAAGAATAATTGTCAGAGATGCATTTTTTTGCTTTAATTGTTTTCAGTGTGAACAGTGATCACTTCATCATAGTTGAGTCATGTTCAGAAAATTTAAACAAGCTGCATGATTAGTCTAGGAAGCATGGAAAGGTTTGTTCAAATCACTACCATCTGTGGACAGAAAAAGTTGGGGGAATTTTAGTCATTCTTGAGGAATGGAAATCTGATTCTCCATGCTAGAGTAATTGTAATCCTCTTTGTATCTGTAACCCAAGAGCGTAGTTGTCTTGAAATTGTCTCATTGAACACAGTCATCAAGTGCAAGAGATACTGTGCCACTGGGTGTCACTGCTCCTCACTGCAGCCCTCCGAGCAAACCTCTGATTTGCTCTGGATTCACATCGCATCTTTTCATTCGTTCTAATGAGAGATTATGTTTATATTTGATTTGTCTATGTAAGCAATGAGATAAATCTAACTGGATTTTAAACTGACTGATTCCATTTTAAAGACCTGTCTAGGCACTGACAGAGAAAATTTTCCCACATCTTCTGCCGATTGACCCTTTCTTTTGTAGGAATATTTTGTATATATGCGTCTTAGTAAACTGGAAAAATTATGGCATAAAATAGAAATAAAAGTTTTTGTAGGAAAGAAGAAGTACTTTTCTAGTTTGTCTGTTATCTTGATACCTGCAAGCTTATCTTTTGAAATTATGGTTTTGATGTAGTATTACTCATGGGGATGATCACAGAGACTGTCTTCAGCCTTGTGACAGTAATTTGCATGGCTTTGCTCTGTAGTCAGTGGGAAAAAGACACTTCTTTAGGGGACAAATGGAAAGAGAAGCATTATTTTCCTGCACCTCATTGTTTGCCCTGCTCTCTGGGAGCTGCTCTCTTTCCACTAAATACAAGCAGAGCTCATGGAGGTTGGCTTTATTAGACTTTTGTTGTTCTGTATGAGAGCCCACAAATCAGAAGCACTGTTATTTTTCCTGATATCATTTTTAGTTCTGTAAAATTGCCAAGCATATTTTTCTGTCTTTACTGCAACATTGCTAGCTTTCAATTATTTTTTAGTGGCATCATCCATGTTGAAACTGGAGGTCTTAAAAATGCTTTAATTGAGGCTCAGAGTGAGACTGGGTGGTAACTTTCATTTAACTCAAATAGTTTTATCCATTCTGTTCCACATTTTATCATCATCATCATCATAACTGAGTGTGTAAGATTCATTTTCTTTGCTGCATCTTAACAGACATTAATAACTTATATTTTAATAAATTAGAGAAGTTTTTGAAGAAAAATACAGGGTTTTTTTTATAGTGACCATTGGACATTTTTCTCTATTTTCCATTAACTAATGGTCAAACTAAGCCCTTTCTTGTAGTTTACACAAGTAGCAAATACAGTTTATAGAGCTATTACAAAACTATTGCAGTTTTCATTTTTTGAAAGTGAACACACTGAGAATTACACCCCCAAAACTGTGACCAAGCAAGAAGGTTTTTTCCTGTTTTATTTTTATTTACTACTTCTTGTACTTCATGCTAATAACAACAGAACAAAACAACTGTAATTTTGATAGTATGGAGTATGATGATGAGAGTTGTCTGTAGTGAAGATTATTTTTCTTTTTAGACAGTTTGCTGTTGTTCTGTGTGTGCTTAGTGTGTAGCAGGGTGGGAGCATATGGGGCTATTGCATACTGTGATACTGTGTACATTTGCATGAGAGCTAAGCAGAAGGACAGGAGAAGCACCCATGGTTCCTGTGCCTGGCCCCTCTCCTGCAGGCTCCACCTGCTTTGGACTCATTTGAAGGCATATGACTTCCTCAGCCTTTTCATCTTCACAGCTTGGTTTGACTCAGAATTTCCATTTCTTGTTAAATATTCATATTTAGTGGAGAGGCTTCAGCTTGTTATATTATGATGATTTTTATAAACAAATTGTTGCAGATGAAAGCAGAGATCAGATATTCCCACAAGGCTGAAAAAAAAATTGAGGATTTTCTCTTTCTTCCCCAGTATCGTTGGTCTGGGATCCTTTCATTCTTTGTGTAAGCCTTGGGGCTTCTTCAGTTTCAGTTTGAGGATGTATCGTGTTTTTCTTTTACCAGCTATACTTCTTCCCCCAAAGATTCTGAAGCACTCTTTAAAGCTAAGTGCACAAAATGATTTCTGAGCTGATTTCTCTGCACAGTTTTTGCCACAGAGAGTATTAGTATTATCTTACAGAGTCTTAGAGATAATATTAGCTTACTGTATGACTATGTGAGATAGCACAAAACCATATGTTGCATCCAGACTGTGAGAGCTGGGAGTACACTGTTGGCTTAATATAGATACGGATAAATATATGTGCATGTATGTACAACCATGCACTATTTCTGTCTCCATGCACATGTATATAACCCTTGTATATCCATGTATACTTAAATATATAAATACATGGAAGCAAAGTTTATGGGAAGTTTCTGTATTTGCTTTGTATTGCCATATTATTAGCTCTTTGTGTTGGTGTTCTTTTAATCTGTTGTTTATTGAACAGCTTGCAAAGCACTTGTATAAAGATAGACAAACATATTGCATGTATGGATACTTTCCATTCAGAAGGTGAAACAAGACACTTATGAAACCTTAAGGTGTTGCTTGAGGATTTCATACGTTGCCAAGAGAGAGGGAGACAAATGAGTATTTCTGAGTGAGAGGTGAGGAATCCCAGTTAGTAACAGCAGTAAAAGATGCTATGGGTAGGCCAAAAATAACTGCTTTATATTCCCTCGCCTAGTTGCAACATAGGCCCAAATGTAGGAACAGCAATGTCACACCTCTCAAAGCTGCCCCTGCATGCCACACCTAAAAGTATTTTTTCTTTATTTCAAAAGCTATAGTAAACGTATGCACCCTATCTATATATATATATACAGTGTAATTTACAAATGGAATTACTCCTTATTAACCATATGAAATTGAATCTTGGTCTTTAGACATGCTTATTAAAATATTTTTTCAACACTGGATAGAAGGGTTATAGTTGCAATTGCTTTTCATTCAAATGAAGATATCTTACAAGTGTTTTAATTTGTAGTTCCTAGTGCTCCCAGGGATATTGTTTTTTCCAATGTGCAATCAACAAGTGTGACCTTGAACTGGAGATCACCGAAATCCATCCTTGGCTACTTTCAAAACTACAAGATTACCACACAGCTACAGTCCATCCGCTGCAGTGACTGGGAAACTAAGGAATGTATTGAATATGAGACGCATCAATATTTATATGAAAATGTGGTGGATGACCGGATAGAAGAGACAGTGTATGGACTGAAAAAATACAGGTGGTACAGATTTACGGTTGCTGCCAGTACGAATGTTGGTTATGGCAGTTCTTCACCTTGGATTTCTACGCAAACACTTCCTGGCTGTAAGTAAGGATGTTTGCCATGTGTCATAATGTCATAATGTGATGTTCACCTAAATAAGCAAAAATGCTTGGTAGAAGTTATTTCTTCATAGACCTACAGTATTGGTGAAGTTAATAAGGTTTTATTGCAAATCTTCACATATGAAATATCATTATATAAATCATGTGGTAGGTATGCATACTTGACACTGCTTCAGATCTGAATGTCTTTTGGATGCTCTACTATGTTTACTGCTTACCCAACAGTTAATTCATTCCTCAGCCCTACTCCACATCTAGAATTGGTAGGTCTGAATTGATAAGTCTGAAGCTACTTTGGCTTGATGCACCATTTTCAATCTCACTCCACATGTTGGATGTGTCAGTGAAAAGTAAGTTTTGTTTTTAATTCTTTGACTAAAAATCTGTTCTCTAATATCATAACACACTTCTGAAATTCTGCTCTATGTTCCTGGAATTTAAGCAATAGTTTCAGAGGAATTCAGATTTCTTTCCAACACCTTATCCACCTAAAGAGATTACAAGTCAGAGTAGCCATGTAACACCTACAGAACTGTCATGATGCATACAAGGACTGTCATTCCTCAACTGAGACTTTCGGTTTCCAAGAAAGAGCAGAGTTACTTGTCACAGATAAGTCATCACTAGATATTTGAGAGAAGGGGATGTGAAACATAAATTATTTAGGAAGTTGGCATGTTGACAGGTGACCTTCTCTCCCAGTCTGCAGCCAGTCTAGGTCAAAGCATATCTGAGATCTGGCCTCTGGCCCATGTAGAACAACTGAGAACCACCAGTGGCCTGACTAAATCACAGCTCCTTCACTCCTTTCCTCTTCAAAAGTAATCATAATAGAGATACCAAGGACTTAAAACAGCTGTGTGGCAAGGACTGTTCAATGGCCCACGTACTTACTTTGTTCTATTCGTGTTTTTACAATCATGTGATATGAATCCAAGAGGCTTCTATATAATGCTCCTCATAGTATCTGTGCCGTCTCTGTGCAGTAGTACAGCCATCTATCCTCAAATACCTTACAATTTTTCTACTAGGTAAGGAAATATTATTGTCTTCATTTTTAGATGAGAAATTGCAATATAGAAATTCTAAGCCCCAAAGGGCAAGGACATTTGGACACCGTGATAGTGAACATCACAACAACCCATTTTTCACATAAAGTGCAGAAGCTGTCCCTTGGACTGAGAAGTTCTGGAATCAGCTGCAAAGTCATTCTCATTTGCACTTACTTTCTTTGTCCAGTGATTCTTATGGGGATGATATGCCTGTAAATTAATGCAGTATTTTAAATTGAAGTTAAAAAGCCCCAATTTATAACCCCAGATGGAGCAGAAAATAGCTAACAGAATTGTGCAACTCTGGGGAGATTTCTTACTGTTAGATGGATAGATCTCAGCTGCTGACATATGCAAATACTTATCTTCAAATAATTGTTTAGGAAAGTTAGGGATTTAAACTGGACAGAGAAGCAGATAATCAAAACACACATAATCACAAAGGTAGGATCCTCTTTATGACTTCCTCTCTGGACAGTGATAATTTAGTTTGAGAAAGAACTATTTTCCTATCAGTCCCACTGAGAATATAGTAGTTAAAAGTATAAAAATCTCATTAGGTTGCACAAGCCCTTTCCATGCCAATACAGTGTTGTTCTCAGCAGTAGGTCCTCTGTGTGCCCTATTTGCTACTTTAACAAATGGGCAGAAGTTTAAAAAGTTCCACCAGTACTTCCAGTCCAAGTGTCTGGGGCTGCTGCCCTGTGTCTGTGGTGAGGGAAGTGGGCAGCAACAATTTCCCTGTGAGCTAAATCAGTGACGCATCAAGAGGTGAGCTGCCTCTAAAGCACACCACCATGAAGTCAGGAAAGCATGGGTACTATTCCAGATATCATGGCTGGGTGCTGGTCTTTTTCCTGGGGTAATGGCAATCAGCTGAGGAGGACAAAAAAGAAGACCAGAACATGTCCCAGCTGGGCAGCCAGCTGGCAGCTCTGATGTGCTTCAGCGGCGCGGGGAGCCTCCCTGAGCAGTTGCTGGTCTTTAGCAAGGGCAGGTATCTAGCTACCTGACCTCAAAGACTAGTCTATGGAAATACCGTTAAACAGACCAAAAAAACCTTAGTTCCCTTCTTTCTTTTGCAAAGAGTAGTGTCTGTAGCAGGGAAGAGAACTTCAGGATGCCCAAAACAGATCCAGCACTCCAGGCAGCCTGCGGAGTGTGTCCAGAGAACAGGTGTCGATCCCCCTTTCCTTTCCCTCGTGGACAGGGCCAAGCATCCTCTGGATTAAGCCTGCTGGTGCACAGCCAATGTACAGGGTCTGTTAGGGCTTAAGGGTGCTTAGCTGCTATGTAAAATAGCCTGAGTACTTAGCCATAAAATCAATGGGAGCTGTGTTTGCAGATTTGAGGGCAGAAGTTAGCCACTGTTTCAGGTTTTCAAGAAATGCCTCTCTAAGATGTTGCTCCAAAGGGAAGGTTACCTTGGTGAAATAATAGCCAAATGATTCTTCTTCAGAAATAATTGGGTTCTCAGAAATTTGTGTTTCTCTCAAGCCTAAAGAAAATATAGTTAGCATACTAATATCCAAGAAGTTACAGCACTTAAGCTGAAGACTGTTAGACTCATTTCCTAGAATATAAAGAGATGAAACTTCAGCAACAGCAAAAATTACATAACAGGATCCCTAAATATTCTTTACAAGTGCTGAAGATTTGACTGTTGTGCTAAAGCAGAAAATCCTAATAATTCTGAATATCCAGTGACAAAGATGAGCATCTTAGCTGTTTATTTCAGTTATTCATTACGACAGTAAATTTAAGGAATTCTTTTTGAGATTCTTTCTTAACTCATTTGCAAGTTTCAAACAAGACATAATGGCTGTATTCTGTACTGAAAGTGGTTATAGCATTACTCTGTGGAAAATGTTATAGGTTGTTCAGTACAGCCCATTTCTCACATCACTCAGATAAAACTATTCAGCCTTCTGTCTTGCAGTTTATTCTCACAGGAATTGTCCTACTGCCTCAGAAAGCAGTTTGATGGCACTGTTATTGCTTAGCTGATGGATTACCCAAAAGCCAAATCTATTCTACAAGATGAAATATTTTCAACATAACCTAGATTTATACAGTCACCAGTACAGAAGATCACAGTGTTGTGTCACAGTAAGGGAAGGGGCAAGAAATGTTTTCCATAGCCAGGGAAACTTTGTTCTCTCACACCTGCACTTACCCCAGTTTTCACTTTTACATTTATAAGGAGAATAAGACAAGCCCAATCACGCTTTGGAGGGTCAGCGTTAGGTAAAAAATGATTGGCAGTGAGATCACTGACCTCATTTTGGATCTCGTACGGTTACACAATGCAATGCTTTTTGGGAATCTGCCAAGTCTCCTAATGCCAGGCTATACTGAAATACAAAAGAAAATCCCAGATGTTCGAACATCTCATGAAAGCTCGGACATGGATGTATGGGGCAGAGGGCTATGCTTCTCTTTTCAGCACCTTCTTACCCAATCCATGCTGATACCCAGTTGCTTGGTATACTTAAATAAATGATTCTGTATGGTTAGAAGCAGTAATATTGCATCTGTTGTTGTATGCCCTTCTTCTGTCAAGTTTTGCCTGAGAGTGGGGTTTTTTTCCCCCATTCCTTTCTTTCTTTCAGAACTAAGTATTGGAAAGGAAATAATATATATATTATACATAATATAAGTGTTTAAATATAGGTAAAAGTAATGTAGGTGATTATAAAATGAAATAACTGAACCTCACACTTAATTTTTGTTGGGAACAAGAAAAAAGGGCTGGTCTTAACCAAACTGGCAAGCATGGCTTTCTGGTAGAAGGCTGGAGTATTCGGTCTTATTTTTGAGGATTATGCTAAATGATGGGCTATCCAGACTTATCTTCAAACTAACACACTTAACTGCTGCCTTAGCATCAGGACACAGATGGATGGGAAAGATGACCCTGACCTCCATAAGACCCACATTCCTGTGCAAGGATAGAAGCATGATAATCAGGAAATGATGGTTATTAGTTACAGAAAATGCATTATTGTGAAAACCAGGAGAAAAGTGCTTATGAGAGGAAGTGATTGGATTATGGGGGAATGAGAGAATAAGACTAGGTCATTTCTACTGAGTAAATTGCTGTGATTTATAAGAGAAAGGGTACAGTGATATCATGGCCTCGTATTGACTAGATTCATTTCACAAACAAACCTAAATCAGAAAGTGGCAGTTCCCCACTGAAGCAAACACAGTTCTTAAAAGGACGGTTTTTGTGAGACATGAGACATGTTAGACATGTTTCATTTTCTAGTTTTCTTTCTAATTATACAGGCTATTTCAGAAAATATTTCTAAATTTCAGTATCATTCAGTTAATGTCTGATACTCTACTTTTCATTATGAAAAACGACCAGGTATTAATGCTTAGGTGTATTTTAGATAAGTATCTTAAATGCAGCATGCTCAATTAGAATTTTCTTGCAATGATCTAAAAATGTATCAAATATAAACTGCAAGCCTAAACCTAAATTGGCTTCTGAAAAAAAAAATGTTGGGAGATTAAGTGTTCCATTAATGCTATAAAAAAAGTGATGGAAAATTGTCTTTGGAAACTTGGTTGGTTTGGACACTAAGGCTCAAGAAGCTATGTATATAATTTTATACTTTTTTTCAGAAATTTCAGCTGTTGATAAAGATGATACCACATAGTTACCGAAAGCATTGTTCACACTAAAAGACACTGTTTAAGCAAGAAGTCTGACACACATTACCAGCAAAATAAGCTTAATTTGCACTGATTCTAGTTTTTAGGGAACATGCTTGCCCTTGTATTTTGTTGTGTCTGTTCTAGCACCCCACTCAACAGCCAGCCTTCTCTGAGCAGGCTGCTCTTTCACCACCCTTCATATGCTTTCACAGCTCACTGTTACATGCTTCATTCAGTTGTTCCATGCTATTCAGTATTTTGGGGATTGCTTCCAATGGTTGAGTTCCAATGGTTGTTCCTGCCTACAAAGTCGAGTATATTCCTGCTAATACCAGCACAGCAATCTACTTCCTATATCCAACACACTAAACACTTCATAGCATCTTATCAGCTCCCAAATCTTCCTGTTTTATTCTGCAACTGTGATGCAAAATTTTCACTTTCAGAGTGCAAAATTTAATGGGTTCTCCTCATTAATCTTTCACACATAGTTTCAATAGCTACGTACCTGCTTCCATGCTGTATTTCCTTTTCCTAATCTGTTTTCTACTTAAAAAAAACAAGTAGCCTTGTATAAGCTCCATTTTTCCTCATTAAGCCCTCTTACCTAATGATTAATGGTGAAAAAAAATACATATTCATGCATTAATCATGTTTGAGAAGATAGATTGTATCTTCTGATTAGGATAGATAGGGTCACTTTTATTGTTTTTTATAACAGACTGTTCAGTCATATGTGTTAATCATAATAGTATTTTTTTTTGTGGTAGATTAAAAAAAAAGGTAGCATGAAGCCAAGTTCTGGACGTATGTACAAATCTGTTGTTCCTTCTATAAGAGGCTGTTTACTGATATGTGTCACAGTTGTCTTTTTTTTTTGTCACAGACCAAAAAAAAAGGCACTATGGAGCCAAGTTCTGACATTATCTACAAATCTGTTGTTACTTATAAACCAAATCTTATTTTTCTGAAATTTACCACAGTCATTATGAAAAATTAATACCACTTACTGAGAACTGCTGTGTTGTTATAATAATTTCATGAATTTCTTATTAATTAATAAGAAATAACTGGGTTAATTCACATATCACCTTGAGAAAAGAAAATCTTTTGGAAAATCCCGTTTCTTAATATGAACATTCTTGCCTGCTTACAGTTCCTATCACTTTTGTTGCATGTTTTCCAGAGTTTCTCAACATGTTAAGAATAAGTTGAAATGAAACCTAGAAAATATTTTTTCTGTATAAAATTGTTTCTACTAGTACTTTCCAACATTGCTGGAATTATTTTCTAGCATGCAGAAGACCCTTGTGTTTTCACAATTTCTTGTTCTTTGAATGACTTACTTGATATAAATGAATATATTATGCTTGTCTGTTTGTCTAAATAGTTGTATATATTTTTTTGCTGGTGTCATGTAAAATACATACAAATATTTTGTAATTTTAAAATTGTTTAATTTCAATTTAAGAAGAATTTGTAGGGAGTTCATAGTCTACAAAAGTAGCAATTGCAAAGAAAGATGTGTTTCTAAATCCCATTGTATGCCTTATATATGAGAAAGAAAGAATGTTATAATTATTTAAGCAGTGTATAATGGTAAATGTGTGGAAAAAGTTTGGGTTTTTTTTCAGATTGAAAGATATTTTCTGCTGGCCACTAAAATGTCTAAGTTACTTGTTGGGCACTTCTTTGGCCATGATTCACATACATATGTTTTTCTACAGCTCCAGATGGTCCTCCAGAAAATGTGACTGTCTTAGCTACATCTCCTCACAGTATTAATATCAGCTGGAGTGAACCTGTCGTCATTACTGGACCAACATGCTACCTCATAGACATTACCTCAGTAAGGCAACTCTGTTTTATTGTTGGTAGTAGTACAGAAATATGGTGATTTAAATGCCAGAGCAGATGTCCTTATAGAAATTACAGAACAGACATAAACAGAATTGAAAATCAGTATGACTGTGTCTATGACTCTGTCTACTTCCTCATAAACTCCATATATACATTTATAAATTTCAAAATTGGAGATAAATTAATTATTTGGTATTAAAAAATATGTGTTAATAAGAAGTCTTGGAGAAAAAAAAAGCATAGCTGTAAAAGTGTACAAGAAAAGAGTAGCTGTGCTTTGCAGAAGTGTACCTCTGTCTAACAGCAATTATTCTGTTTACCAAGAATATAATAATGACTGGGTTTTTTTCTTCAAAAGAAGGAAAAGTTCATTGTCATGATTTTACAAACAAGAGTGGAAAGCCTAGCAAAAGAAAGTGACTTGTACAAAGTTACACAGTGCATCAGAGGGCGAACTTTAAAGTCAGACTAGATTTCCCACTTTCCACTTAGTGCCCTGTCGATCAGATTAGCTGTATTTTGGTAGCACAGCAATAACACTTCTTTCTCCTTGATCTTTGTAAGCAAAAAAAGACTGACATAAGAGAAAAGCTCTGGTGGCCTTTCTCTTTTCATCCTCTACTACCCTTATAATACTCCTTAAAACAACCATTAATAAACCTCATTTCCTGCCCTTGGGCAAGATATGAAACTTTCTAAGTTTGAGCACATGAGAAGTTTTAAGTAGGATATAGGTTCCCTGTCTTTCCGAAAATGATACAGACAGGGCTATCAGTGAAAATGGGAAGCAGTTTACTAGACTTTACCCAGGAAAACTTGCTGTTTGCTGCTTCAGAAATCTTGAGTTAGTCTCATAGATAATAGGGAAAAAAAGAAATAAAAACTACTTCAAACTAGTTAAAGACTTTAAATAGAAAGTTCTTTCAATTTTTTGAGAAGAGAGCAAGACTATTATGTGCATATTTTCAATGTTTCTAACTTGGTCATAAGAATTACAGATACACTAAAATAATAATGTAGAGATTTTTGTGCAATCAGAATTTCTAAGGCGATCAGTAAAAATATACCAAATATTTTTAAGCTCCTCAGTAAAGTTACAAGAGAGAGTAAAGTGTAGTCCTGCTATTTTCTCTTCCTCTAACTTTATTGTGCAATATGTGAAGTGCAATCTGTTCAGTTCAGAACATACTTACCACAGTAGTAGTGTGACAGGATGAAGGCTGCACAGTAACAAGGGGAATACTGACAGGGGAGGAATGGTTCCTTGGCCCATCGGATAGGTCTCTGGAAACTATATAACAGTTTTTACTTCTCCTTTACTAGAGTTATAGAAAACGTTTTCCTCGTGAAAAGTTCCTATCACTTTTGACTAAACAACATTATAGTGCCTCAACAGAAAAAGTTATTTAATGCTTTTGATAAAACTTTCACATTCAGTTTTCAAAGCATGATTTTTTGTGTGTAATATTTAATCAATTTGTATTTAAACAATTTATCCTCTGACTGATAATACCTAAATTATAAACAAAGTGTCATCTGATTCTACACTATGAAAATGTTATAAAAACCTTATCAATGTACGTTATAGTAAAATTCCTGAAGATGAACTATGAAAAGTTTCACGTGAGCTTGCTAACATTTGGAAGGAACTTAAAAACCTGTTTTAAATACTCAATTTGGAGGGCTTTGGTTTTGTTTGTAAGAAGTGATTTTTTTTTTCAAATATATTTCTGATATCTAGCTTTATGTTTAGAGATGCCTTGTAATCAGATATTGTCTGTGTAATGAACTACAGGTGCCAGTTCTGTAGGTAATCATCTTACTAGACAAATCTATTCCTTCTTAAATACCAATAAAGCTGTCACAATCTTTTTCAGTGAAAATATGAGTACATATTTTATTGTCCCAGTGGGAAAATTTTTATGAAGACTTCAAATTCCACAAACTTCCTGTGTGTATAACTTTACTCATTTTAGTTCTCAACTGTGTATCTTTAAGGATTTTTAAAAATAGGCTCACAGAACAAAATAATTTCAGATTTTTACTCTGTGATGTCTTCTTAAAAGGTAGTAATTATTATTCATTAGTGAATGTATGGGGGTTCTGTTTAAATTGCTAGGATGTTCCTTGCAGTTTTGTAGATCAGAAAAATGAAAAAGTACTCCCTCATTATTATTCCTCTGAGTCATATTTTAATTTGTCTTGCTGCCTACTATAATTAGAAGTAGTCCTGAATAAAATATTACTGCACATGAGAAAGGAGAATGGAACTGACCCATTAAACTTCAGGAAGAATAGAAATAAATTTAGCAATGTAGTGCTGTGATTGTATTTTAGCTCTTGTATAAATATTTGTATGCCAGGTTTCTGATAGTCAGATAGAAAAAGTGTTTCAGCTCTTGATGGCCATCCCAGGAAATGAATGTCTGTTTAGTCCATCAGAAAGTTTAGTTCAGGTTAATTCACAGTGGGGATAGATGCATATCTGTCAAATAAAAGGTATGCTTGAGCTATCCTAATGTTTTAGCAGCTGCATTTAATACAGATTTCATCCAGTGGGAAAACTACTGTATAGCTACCTAATCCTCTTTTCAAATTACACACTGAAGAAACAATAATGAAAACATCATTAACTAAACTAGTGGGAGTAGACATAAAAAGAATTTTGTAAATGATACTTGATCAAACACTAGAACAGCTCCCATTTTTTCATTTTTTCCTTTTTTTAAACTAACATTAGAAGTGATTAATTGGATATAAAGCCCAACATTGTAGATTTTTCTACAGAACTACAGATTATTTGAGATGTGGGGTTGATAGGGATCCCAAGAAGTAATCCAGTCCATATGCTGCTCTAACAGAGAAACAAGCATACCTAAAGTCTTCCTCACAAATTATTCATTATCCTTTTCTTAAAAGTGTCCAGTGTTGAAAATTGCTCAGCAACCTCCAATAGATTGTTCTAACTAAACTTATGGTCATAGTTTTAGTTGCATATTTAGGTATGTCATTGCAGATTTTGTAATGTTGAGTTCTACTCTTTTTTGGTGCAAGTAAAATTTCTATTTGTGTTTTCACAAACACTAGAGATTATCATCGGTTTAGTAACATCCTCTTTTCTATTTTGAAGTTATTACTATGTCCTCTACCATCCTCCCTTTCCTAGATTGAACCCCAGTTATTTCTGCTTTCTATCTTTTCTAGTGAGAGAATTATTTCCTCCCCACTGTCTTGTATGTAGTGCTTCTATTATTATATCACAAAAAGAATTGCACTTTCTGCAGCCATATCAACATTACATATTGCTGCCGATTTTTCTTTTTTGTTTTTGTATTTCAAACAATTTTCTGCTATAAAGCAGAAATTCTGGATCTCTGCCTGGTTTGATTCCCATTTCACGTCACCGCAGCTTCCCTGGCCCAGTGTCTACCGATCAGTTCATGTTTGCTTGGTAGAAGACAGCACCAAGCAAACAGCCCATTTCCTTCTTCCCATATTACGTGAAGTGCTGAAGAGGCAACACATGGGTGAGATGAAAGCTTACTCCCCTGTGCAGATTTCTAGACTTGGTAGCTAGAGACTTCTTGTGAACTCTTCTATGTAACTGGTTAGAAAAGTGGAAAGACAAAAGTTAAATAAGGTGTTCAAATGGTAATGTGCTACTTTTGGCTGTTTTGTCTTGTAATAGTTTTTTTATTATTGTTATTTTACAGGTAGATAATGACAATTATAAAGCCCAATTTCTGAAGACAAATGATGAGGGTAAAATCTTGGAAATTACTGATTTAAAAGCATTTACAAGGTATTCTGTAGTAATCATTGCCTTTACAGGGGATGTTAATGCTGCACTCCTTGAAGGCAAAGCTAGTTCTCCAGTAATTGTCTCCACATTTGAAGCAGGTTTGTATTTTTCTCTACTTTATGTGGATCAAACTTTGCAGTTTTTCTTTCATCTGACAAATAAATGACAATTTTGAACACACAATGCACATCTAATGCAGATTTGTTCTCAAAATATTTTTCTTCAATATTTAAAAACATGGCAGTCAATAAGAAAGTGATGGTGATAAATACTAAGATATACTTTTAGTAATGTAGACATCTTCACTTGCTTTATGTAAAATATGGATGTGTGGAACACAGCCATCTAGATTACTTCTATAGTAAATGAAGAAAGGTTTTCTCTATATTAGCATGTACATATGGGATACCTGACTCTCTCTTGTGGAAGTGCCTGTTCCCCTTAAAAGTCTATTGAAAACTCTATACAACATCCTTGGTCTTGATGCAAAATTTAAACTTATAAAAGTAAAACGAAGTGAATCCTGCCATTTATAAATGATACCAGTACTGACTTGAGGACATAATCTGTGTATTCTCAGTGGAAGGAGGTGGCTAGTGAAGGCCCACAGGGATCTGTGCTTGAGTCGGGTGTTCCACAGATTCAAAACGACCTGGAGAATGAGTTAGATACCAAGGTGCTGATGCTATTAAGTTAATCAGAGAAATAGAACTGAGAAATGAGACTTCATGACACCCAGAGAACACAGAAAAATAGACAGCATTTGCTTAGGAAAATATGGAGAGATGTACATGGGGAAGATACAGTCCTAACTGCAAGTACATAGCTCCTGGTTATGCTCCTCCTCCTACCTTTGCTGGTTTTGAATTGTTCACTAAGGCTGTTCAAACAAACAAACAAAACAGCAAAAAAATATTTGCTGAAAGTATTCTGACGTTTTGTTTCATTGAGACTAATTATCAACTGTGTATAACCTACAATTGACTTGTCTAGTGAGGTTAGCTGCAGGTCAGCTTTTTTATCTGTATACTCAGGTTAGTTTCAGATTTAGACATACTACACAGTGATTGTATTTATCATTTATCTTTTCTTTGATGTATGAAAAGCCAATGTCCCTAATGATATATGATATGATATGATATGATAGGATATATGATATGATAGGATATATGATATGATATGATATATGATATGATATGATATGATATATGAGTGTGCGTATGTATATACATCTTTCTAATCCCTTTAGTATGTTTTTCATGATCTGTTTATATCCCTGGAGGTTGACATGGTCTTTTACTGTGGAAAAATGAATGAAGATTGAATTAGGTGGTAGCTGTGTCTGTCCTGTGAACTCTCTTCTTTGGTAGCCCTTTCTCTTATATAAAAATATGATACATTAGGAGGTGTAGTAATCTTAGAGAAGAAAAGTTATTTTTTTCCATCTTGTCTCATCCAGTTTGTACGGTCTAGCATATGGCTGAGTATCTGAGGAATTTAGGACCAATTTGCATAGACATTACTCAGGAAAGCCTGAGTAACCATTTGTTGGCTGGTATAAAAAAGCTAGAAGGTGTGACAGCTGCATCTAAATCCTTGCTTGAGGGAATGTGTTTACCTCAGTTGCTTGATTTCACTATTCAGAGGTCACACTACATATCTGTCTGCTCAGGTAGAGCAATAAATATTTAGCTGCCTGAAAAGAATGTTATAGCCTTTTCTTTCAGATAGGGACATTGGGAAAATGATTTATACCTTTGCTGTCTTGAGAATAAGCTGCTGTAATAAGCATTTCACAAAAAAATGTCTTGTGGAAAAATGCATGTTTTCTTTGTGTCTGGGTATCAGCTACTGGAAAGTTTTTTCCTGAAGTTAACTGTGATAAGCAGAGACTCTTAGGAGCATGGTGGTTTGTTTATGTGTTGAGAGGGATCTGACTGTTGACAGAGGGCTTTCAGAAAGGGATACTCAAGACTAACACTTGCTTCTTGCTTGTCAGCCCAGGCAAGATTTGTTTACCCCAGATGAATTTCAAGGTATAATGATGCCTTCAGGCTTTCAGAGTAGCAAATCAGAAGATACTTTTCTGAGTAGAGACTAGTGAGGGTAATCTCATAATTGTTTTTAATATTCGTAGCATTAAATGCTATCATTATTAATAGTATTTCACTAAATACTTAACTTTTTGTCTTTATGAATATTTACATAGGCAGTAAGTACTTGAAATGTTTTTAATAAAGCCAGAAAATGCCAGCAAAATAATAGTGATATGAAAAAAAATTGTACTTTTTCAGGTTTTTATCTAATAGAAATAGTAGTAAACTGATTAAGTGAATCATTGAAATACTTATTTCAGTGCCTGAAGACCCACCTAACAATGTAACGTTTCAGAAGATACCAGACGAAGTAACAAAATTCCAAGTAACATTTGTGCCACCATCCGAACGAAATGGAAATATTCAGGTGTATCAAGCTATGGTGTACAATGAAGATGACCCTGCTGCCGTCCAGATACACAACCTTAGTGTCATTGATAAAACAGATCAGTCAGTCACTGCCATGATAGAAGGACTGAAAGGAGGACATACCTACAATGTTAGCGTAAGAACTGATACTTTTTCTGTGGATTTTTCTCTTTGATGTGAGTGAGAGATTAGTCTGAATGGGGAACTCAAACCTAGGCTGCATATGAGATTTTCATGGTGAGATTGTTAGCTGGGATAGGAAGAGAGACAAGTCTGAGGAATGAGGGAAGCAAAGAGGAGGGCGGCTGAGTGGGAGCAGGACACATCACTAGTGGTTAGCTTTGTACTCTGGACCACCAGTTCATGCGCTAGCAAAGCAGCCTGTGACACACTGTCACAGGTACAAGATTAAATCTCTCTTTTAATTTCACCACTTGCATTGATCATTTGGCTTAGAGTAAAGGTCCAGTTCTGCAAGGGGACCTTGCTAGGAGTATGTGCATGAAGTCCTTTCAAATAATCAGCAACTAAGACATAGAGAAGGTGACATAACTGTTTAAGTAGGCTTGTTTTTCTCCTTTTTGTAAGAGCTGCATTACAAGCGGTAAAGTATTACTGTACTTAGGATTGTAAAGAAATACAAAGTTCTAGCAAAGTTAATGACAACGGGAGTGTTTCAGAATTCATTACCGCTTCAAATATATCCAGATTTTGCCAATTTGAAGCTATTACAAATAATCATTAAAATAAATGTTTGGTTTTTTAAGGTGTATGCAATTAATGGTGCTGGTGCAGGGCCAAAAATTCAATTGAAAATAACCATGGATATCAAAGGTATGTCTCATAACATGCCCCTTAGCTGAAATCTCTATAGATGCTGAAGAAATTGCTGTTTGTGTGCCTGTGACTATTTAGAGGATCCATAATGTAGGAACAGGAGCACATAACTAATAGCCTTGAATTGCAGTGCTCAGTTTTGCTGCGTATCACTGATCATTTGCTATTCATATCTGAATGATGCTGTAAACCATGTGCAGACCCAGTGAAGTGATCATATTGACTTCAGTACTTTAGTTATCATCAGCAAAGAGCTTAGAAGAATATCACCGAGGTATAGCTGAGTATATAGTATCACAGTTGTGGACAAAAATATGGTCATTGATTGAATTTCATTTAAAAACTAAGAGTCAAGTCTTTTTATTGTTTTCTCTATTAATTGAAAACTGATATGCAGAGGCATTGATCAGAATACAGTTTTTAGAGACTTAAGGTATTAAGTAGAACATTAAGTTTTCCCTGAATATATGCTAAAGAACTGTCTTGCATAACAGAGCTATGTGCCTGAAAAACGTACTTGCAATGAAAACATTTTAAAACGAAACTCTGTGGTATATCTTTGTTTAAAACCAGAACCACCACGGCCTAAAAAGAAACCAGCACCTGTTTATGATACCAATGGGGCGTTACTCGTCACAGCTACAACGATTACGATCAGAATGCCAATATGTTATTACAGTGATGATCATGGCCCTATCAAGAAGATACAAGTTCTTGTTGTAGAAGCCGGAGGTAGGTTTTTATAAGTTCTCTTGAAAATTGTTTTCAGGTTTTTTTATTTCTTTATTTTCAATCTGTTTGTCTCTTCTCTGTTATTTCTTTTTTTCTCAGTAATTTCGCTTTAGAACAGCTAACAAAATCACTTTAGCTGTGGCAGCAGTAATAAGAGCAAAGTATCTTTCACAGTACCTGTGGGCTGGGTACTGGATTTTGGGAACACTTGCCAAAAAAGAGTCATACATGCTGTTTGAAGTCACCAATATTATTATGGCCTTATTGTTATCTTTTCTTTATTTCCTATTTCCTTGAAAAATAAAATTGACATTTGTGAATGGTAAGTAAATATGAAACTTTTTTTTTTTGCAAGGTTTTCCTTCTGTTGCTTAGTGTTGCCTGTATAAGAATGCAGTCATGTGCAGTTGATATTTCCATTTCATAACGGGGGCAGAGGGATTTATATAAATCCCCTCTGTAGACAGTGGATTGGAATGTGTATTCCCTTGTATGGGCTGATGAGTATTTACTCATATGGACAGTGCCATGATAGTCTTTTGAGTAATTGCCTACCAATGTGAGTGGGAGTTTCATGATAAGACATCATATGGTCAGACTTACTTTGCCTAAGAAGGACAAATTCCAGGTATTTAATTCCCTTGTTTTCCTTGCTTTCAAAGTACAGAAGTAAAGCATTCACATTAAGTGAATTCACACTAAGTCTCATACCTTCTTCTGAATTTTGCATTTTAGCACTAATCCTACAGACATTTACTTCATAGCTATTGCTGTGAAGATTCTCTTGAACTGACAGATATTCAAATAGCATGTTAAGCAGCATTTTGAAGGTTTTTCTCCTGAGTTGCTGGGTACTATCCACTTTTGGACATCTATTAATTTAATTTATGAAACAGTCTTTACTGTCTTTAGAGTAAACACTTTTTACTGTCCTTGCTAGCCATACTCAGTTTCAAAGTCAAGTGGCTTGCACAGGTGACATCTTCTACAGGCAGAGCTCATGTGTGAGACTGCCCCTGAAGTTTTCTAGTTGTGATTCAGCTGACTTTCTCTGAGTTAGCAAAACATAGTGTGGATAATAAGGAAATTTGGGTTCAAGTGCAAATACAGTTATAGACTTAGTTACGTAAATGGCACCAATAGCATCTAAGCTCTTAAAAAATAATTTCCTATTTAAGTTCTTTAATTACAGTCTGGTTAGAATGTAGATTGTTTCTGATTATTTCTTTTCTTGACAATAGCTCATCATGATGGGAATGTTACTAAGTGGTATGATGCCTACTTCAACAGACCAAGGCCGTATTTTACAAATGAAGGCTTTCCAAACCCACCATGTATAGAAGGCAAAGAAGACCCGAGTGGCAAAGAAGAGATATATGTCATAGGTGCTGATACTACATGCATGATACCAGGCAGTCAAGACAAAATATGTAATGGCCCACTGAAACCAAGAAAGCAGTACCTGTAAGTACATTTGTCTCTACATTTGTCCAAGAGAAAGATTTAAGTGATTTATACATTGATACAACCATACAAAATGTGTAGTTCAATTATGAAAAGGTGGAGATTGACATCATCTTCATGTGTCTCTAATTTTAATTTTTTTGTCTGAGCATAAATATGGGAGAAAATTTTATTTTAATTGTTTCAGGTAACAAAAGATGCTTACTGAGTTCTTAAACTAAATAAGCCCAAGTTCAAGATAAGTCATTCATATAGTTTGATTATACATTTAAGATATTGACAGTGAGTCCTTGATGCCTATCATAACGTCACTTTAGCAGGTAAATAATGGCTCCAGTTTATTTCATACTAAAACCGAAAACTTAGTTTCTAAGTGAAATAATATTTAAGAAAATGCACATAAACTTTTATCTCATTAATTTTCTTGGGTTTATTTCACAGATTTAAATTCAGAGCAACTAATGTTAAAGGACAATTTACAGATTCTGACTATTCTGACCCTGTCAAAACGTTAGGTGAGTGTCATATACTAAAGTATTTCTCTGTTTCCAAATAATCTAGACAATGCCATGTTTCTTTGTTGTGGAATGTTTTCCTTGAATTAAATAATCTGTACTTTTGTTGGACCTAGCTTAACCAGAATAGCTGAGGAAACATATTCATTCCCTTGTCTGTCCTTTCAAGGATGTTAAGAGGTCTTACCTCAGCCTGGACTTTTAAATGCAGAATCAATATTGACAAAGTTTGTTAGCAGAGATTCAGTTGTACCAGTAAAAATACCATTTTATGAGCATAGCTCATCTTGCTTGGTGAAGTGCCAGAAGCTATACTGTTTGTGCAGTTTCCCTCTGTGCTGGATGTAGAGCTATTCCAGTGAGCCTAGTGTTGGGAATATTTAAAGGAATATTTAAAGGGAATATTTAAATATTTAAAGGGTGAGTGTCACGAGGATGGAGCCAGGCTCTTCTCGGTGACAAACAATGATAGGACAAGAGGTAATGGGCACAAGCTGGAACACAGGAGGTTCCACTTAAATTTGAGAAGAAACTTCTTCTCAGTGAGGGTGACAGAGCACTGGAACAGGCTGCCCAGAGAGGTTGTGGAGTCTCCTTCTCTGGAGACATTCAAAACCCGCCTGGACGCCTTCCTGTGCAACCTCATCTAGGTGTTCCTGCTCCGGCAGGGGGATTGGACTAGATGATCTTTTGAGGTCCCTTCCAATCCCTAACGTTCTGTGATTCTGTGTGATTCTGTGAACCTCTTCGCTGCAGATCATTCCTTCTAGTGGTAGCTCATCTGAGGACATGACCATTTAGCCATTCATCCTTTAGATGCAGACAAAGCTCTATATTAATTAATACATTAATATTGTCTGATGGAATCCACTGACCAATAGGCCAGCTGTTATGGAGTCTTAAAATACAGCAGAAATTCCTCCATGGCAGTGTTATTCTACCCTCAAAATTGGGAATGAAGACTCTTGTAGCAGATCGCAATAAGATCTGTAAGTTCTTTTATTATATTGGTAAGCCAAAACTTACTTAGCTAAGCATTAGCCCTGACTTTCTGAAAAGGGATCCCAAGACAACTGGATGAGTACCCAGAAGAATTTTAGTGGGCACATATTTTTCATTTGGCATTCATCTTCTGTGACATGAGCTCCCTTATTCATCTAATCCATGTTAGAAATTTGTTACATGATCTGATACTAAAGATCCTGAAATGCTAATTCACTACCTGAATATTCAGAAAGGATCTAGCGCTATTTCTCTAGCCCTTAATGTTTTGGAAAGTGCAACACAAAAGTTGTCTTTTTATGTTCTCAGTTTAAAAGTTCTAAGCCGATGAAGCAAACAGCTTGCCCATTTTTTGTCCAGTCAGGAAAAACAGGTCTACTGGAAAGGAGCCCAATTATCCAGTCCTCTAGGCAGCTTCCTCCTTTCTAACAGAAAAGTCTGCAGTGCTTAAAGAAATCATTCTTTAGTGGCAGGCACATAGTGTAATTCATTCGATTCTGTATTGTTACTGAACACTTGTGACACATTCTCCTTTGGTATAGATCAGAAAGGAGCAAATTCTGTTAGTATGCTAAATAAAATGTAATAGGAAAAAAAATAGACCTGATAAATGCCTCAAATATCCATGGCTCCTCATACTCAGTGCCTTCTGTGCTGAAAGTTTAACAAGTACTGCTTTTAAAATGGGCACTACAGCAAAATCTTGTCTGGCCTTAACTTCTAAATTTCAGAGCCTATCCAACAAGAAACAGAACTGAAGTGGATAGATAATGAAAAATTCCTTCTGTGCTTTCTTCCAATTGTTGTGAAATCAACCACAAATTGCTAGATCACAAGTGATGCAGGTACTGCAGTTGAGTGGCCTTGAAGATACAGCCCTGGCAATGCCATTACCAGTGTCATCTTAAGTGAATAAAGGAAGTTAGGTTTTTTTAGACACATTTTCTCGAGACACATAACCTGAGGAACCTTGCCCAAGTGTTTCGTCATAGAACATACTTTGGTTATATGAACTTCGGACTTGCTCTAGAAGCATAACCCAGAAAACATACCAGAAAGATCAGTAGCTGTTAGGTATCTCTGTGACCTATTACTTCTGTTCCACTTGTAACAACAACATCTTCTCAGAAGAAATTTATGCTGCCTGAAACCTGAGTTGCAATTTGATTTTAAATCAATTGCCTTCTTTTGTAATAATTACTGAAATTTGTGTGTTTTTCCAACATTACACTTTCATTTTAATAGATAAAACACTAATTTGAATTTTGGTAGAGGTATTCATGACTGTTCAAAGAACCCTATGTTATCTTAGTTTCTAAGTCTACTTATAGAATAGGTAGGTCTTTGATACAGAAAATCAGAAAGCAAACCTTGTATCTGTGCAATTTAGTACTGCATGTTAAGTATGTTTGAAGCAGAAAAAAATACAGAAAACCTATGAGAGAGTTCTTTGTGACAGACATCAGATGCTCTTGTTAAACTATAGGCATTTTGCTAGGGAGGAACACTGAAGCAGAAATTACTGGAGTACACAGCTGCAATAATGACTTTTTAATTATAGTAAAGGATACATTTTAATATGGTGCTCCCACTCAACCATACTTAGACTACCACTACTCTCCTCTTGAGCTGGAGAAGTGGAGTTTCTTCCTCATAACCCATGACTGGCATTGCAAAAGTAATGTCCATACTACAATGAAAGGTCAGGATTTTTCCATGAGATTATTAAGATGTGGTGACAAATACTGTTTAAACTTCTAATACAACAAGGCAGCTTATAACCTTCTCGTAAACTCTGATAGCCAGGTCAGCAAATCATTGTGGGGCAGCTGGTAGTCTTGTGTAACTGCAGGCTTTTTCCATGTGAAATACAAAGCTGATGAGACAGGAAATAATCAAAACGGGGTTTCCTGACACTGCCTTTTGCACAGAATCCTGCTTTATGATATTCTATTACTGCAGTTTGTTATCATGTATTGAGTCACAGTGCCTCAGAATTATGCAACGTGATGTCATGTGTTTTGTCTCCTTTCCCTTGCCCATGACCATCTCTACAGACATACACAGTCCTTCCCTGTTGCAAAGTAGGAGAAAATATATTGTTTAATGTTTGATGGTTATTCTGCCTGCACTGTTTTGTTTAATAACATTGGCAGTGTTTGGATTTATGTTAACCATAGGTTTTAACATTGACTTCACTGTTTAATGCAAAATGTGTAGAACATTTGTCTGTTCTTCTTCCACATTACTAACACTTGTGCCTTATTGCAGAGATCAGTGAGTGGCAGGGACTTTTTCATCCATTTCCCTCTAGTAACAGTTTTTTTATATACTTGCTTTTCTATTGTGTTTCTCTGACCAAAATTGCTCTTACCATGTAGTGTCCAGTGTTGCATCTGAAACTTTATTAATGCAGTGTAAGAATTATTTCAGGTATTTTGTAAACTATACTTAATTCTATTTTCTATATTTTCATACAGGGATAATATTGCTTATTCATGTTGGGTTTGGTCTACAATAATCTCACACTTTCTTCTGATAAATTCCTTCCTAACTTACTGTTTAGTATGCTGTATTATTGCATCTGATTTTTCCTGCCTATGTGTAGAACTATGCACTTGATCTTATAAACTTGCATCCTACTGTTTTAAGATTATTTCTTCAGCTAAATCAGGATACTTTTGAATTTTATTCACGTTCTCCAATGTACATGCAGTCCAGATCATCTGCAATATACTCCCTAATCCAAAAATCAGAGTCTTTTGACAGAAACAAAGCCAGGACTTCAGTGTTTCCCAGTATGTCCTTGGGAAGATGTTGTCCCATGAGTGGGAAATCTCTGTTTCATATGGCAGGAAGCAGTACATTTTTCTCTCCTTCCTGGAGGCTGGACAGGAGCTGGGTTTTCTACAGTGGTGAACGTCAGCATAGGTAGATGATGCCTGCAGTAGTAATCCCTTGCTTTTCTTTTTTTCACTGTGTACCTGAAGAACAAAAAGAGGCTGAGGTTTTTGACATAGGGACAGGATTATCAGAAAGGGTGGAAAATTAAATGAGTCTCAGAAATTCAACACCAGAGAGGTTCAAAAAGAGGTCTAGAAACTACTGATCTAAATGGTCTGTCAGTCTCTGAATAAGCCTTAATTCTCATGTGGAAGGACTGATTAGGATACCAGCACCTTTACCTTTTTATCATAGAGCCCTTTATGATAGCTTTTGGCCTGCTGCTGGTTATTCCTAACAATATCTCCAGTTCTCACATAGATAAAAAGCATGAGTCAGTGAGGCAGGTTAATCCAGAAAGTTCAGATCTGATCACTAGGTGGGTTCCTTCAGCACCCTGAGGAGAGTATCTCAGAAAAAGTGTCTTTTACTTAGTGCCTGTGAGTGATGGCTGCGACCCTCATACCTTTAAAGTTGTGGCTCTTCCTTTTCCACTTCTGGAGTTTGCTTACCCTCGCAGTGCGTCTGCTCCTGGCTGCACAAAGACTGAAGCAGGAGCTCAGCTCAGGCCAGCCTTCAGACTGATGCTACTGAATTTAGACTCACCTCAACCTGTTTAGTGGATCAAACTAAAAAGGACCAGGGATGGCTGCACATCTAGCTGTAGGCATATAGTACTAGCATTTTGTATTACACAGATCAGCAATGCTTAGGAACCTTTACATAAATTTTTTTTTTGTTTTGTTGTATTTTTCTTTCCTGAGCAGCTCTTCGATTGACACAAAATGAATGCAGTTGTGCGGAGACAAAAGTGTGTTTCTCTCATGGCTCCCTGATTTCACCCTGTCAGAAATGTAAATATTGTAATGAACCTATGGAATATTAGATTTCCACTTTCTGTTGCAGGTGAAGGACTATCAGGAAGATCTGTAGAAGTTATCCTTGCTGTTACTTTGTGTATACTTTCAGTTGTTCTTTTGGTGTCTGCAGTATATGCTTTTGCAAGGTGAGATTTATGTGCCGTTGCCATACCATGTTTGCAAGCATTCAAAAATATTTTAAAGAAGAGTTGAAACAGCCCTATAAATGAAACCAATCTGTCATTTCAAAAAGTATTGCATTTTGCAGTATGTGTGCTGAATTCCCCCAGCAACCATTTTTCGGTTTCAGACTGTCTAATCAAAGTATTGACATATGTGTCCTTAAATCTTTTGTATATTTATTTTTTACTATTATTTTCTGTTTAGGATTCGGCAAAAGCAAAAGGAGGGAGGCACGTACTCCCCACGAGATGCTGAAATTATTGACACTAAGTTCAAACTAGATCAGTTGATCACAATGGCAGACCTGGAGCTGAAGGACGAGAGATTTACACGGTAAGTGTACTCCTTAGGCAAAACAGTAGTCCAAAGGGGCTGTAGCCATGACCCCTTTCTGACCTTTGCTTGTTTGGAAGTGTTTGTGGTGTTCTTATTTACACAGGTCACTGAGATCCTCTTTCAAAGAATGACCTCCATCCTCAAGACACTTCTCACTAGCTTTTAGGAAATCACTTAATCTTCAGCTCTTTTTACAAGATAAGATCTAAGTGCAAATCACTGTTTAATTGTCTTAGCAAAAAAAGGGCTACAAATTTTTAAACATGCAGAATTTCTGAGTTTTTTTTGACGGCCCAGTGTTTTTTGTAGACTGCAAACATACATAAGCGTTTTGAAAGAGTCAGACGCCCAGAAGTCACACTAAACTAGTTCAAGAACAAATCTGTCATTGTTTAATTGACATTTAGAAAGCGTTCTTTTTTTTCCACAAAGAGATTTGCATAACATCTGGGTTTCTGTGGAGCTCAGCACCCTGGCTCTCCTGACATCTTCTTCTTTAAGGTGTATGCAGGAAGTCCAGGCTATTCATGTTTTCTGTCTAACAAAGGATCTTGTCACTGTTATTTATCAGAAGGAAAACTGCTCTTTCTGACTGCCAGATATACGGCTATTATTCACTGAATAAATATAATGATGATTCTCAATAATATACGACATCCAACTGAGTTAGATATGTTTGGTGAACATTCTTTACCTGCCTGTATTTTCCCTGCTGTGTCACAGATGAAGCACTGTGGTAGGCAGTGTCCTTTAAGATGAGAAGCCTAAACTAGTCCTGCCCTAGCAGTCAGGCATCCTACTGTTGCAGGCTGGGAATAGCTGGAAGATGAAAGGTTGTAGCTGTTGACCTGTTTTGTTTGAGTGTGTACGTGTCTATGTGTGTGGTACAGAGTAAGTGGATTGCATGTACAAACCTGTTCAAAGTAGTGCACGGGAATGGCTGCTTGTAACAGATGAGAAAACATACTATGAATCATCTGGAAATCATTGACGTAATGGATGTGGTATGTTCTGTGTCGGGCAGGTGTCATTCAGATAGCGTTATTTAGTACCTGCTAATAGCAGCACAAAACATTCCCAGAAGACAGAGCCATTGCCAATGCACTGTGATAATTGTGACTTTTATAAATGATCTTGATGTATCTTCAAAATGGCCTTGTTTCCAAACTGTTAGCTGAATACTAATACCGTTTTTGTTTATATACTAAAGTGTTAATGGATTTTGCTTCCAGATACTCTTCATTTTTCTTTAGACGCAAGGAGATATTTGTCATCCAGTAAGTTTTTGTGTTATTGAAGCAACATGGTGTGTTTTCCATTCTGTTCTCTTAACCTATCTGCTACCACACTATATTGAATTATATGCTTAATCCAAATGAAATGTCAATCTTTGCAGCTATACTCATGACAAACAGTGGTATTTGTCATGATGAAATCATGTTTATTTTTAGTCCGTAATGTTAAGGTACAACAGTTCCACAACTATTTTGAAACAAATCAGGGCAATTTTAACTTGGAAATTCTAACACAGTCTGATAATATAGAACTGATACATACAACCTGTGCTCAAAGCAAATAAAACACATGCTGTTTCTTTCCTTTGGCAGTTAGAATGTATGTACTTAAAAGAAATTATCTTTTTTTCTCCACTGCCTTTTGTACTCACACTGCAGCTGTTTTGTGCTATGCCACTATAATCTCAGCAACATATCCACGCAGTCAAATAATTTCTCAGTTTGCAGAGTACTATTCTGCCACTTTTCTGTCTAAATTTTGTGTAGTTTAGATTTGTACAGTCTCAAACCCTACAGGGTAATTGCAAACTATATTTCGTACTTACATGCACTTCATTATGTGATTTATGCCCAGCAAGGCCTTTACTGAACAGCACTTCAACAGTTTTAGTTGCATCAGCCTTATTTTAAAGAGTCAGTCTCTCATTTTGATTTGCAATTTGTTGTGTCCTTCCATCTGTGTTTTTCTCTTTCCTCCTTCTCCACTCCTTTGACGGCCAGACACAGAGATTCTCTTCTTCTGCCATTCTTGTAAGGTGCATGATGCAACTGTTAAAATTTGGATTATTATTTTTCAAACAGTAGTGACACTGAAGCTCCAGCAGGCTCCTTACACAGGTCCTCTGTTGGACATTATGACAAATTGTTGAAATTTGAAGGCAGGCACTGAGAATTCCTCAGGACAGGATTCATGCCATATTTTCAACCGGAAGTCAGTAAATGTATAATGGGACCCTACTGGAAAACAAACATAGAGCAATGAAGGGGCAGGATATCTTTTATCTGCTCAAAACATTTTAGTTTATCATGGTGTTTTTTTTAAGCTTTGAAGAATGTTTCAGAATGTGTAAGATTCTGTCCCAGTAATTCAGTGACCAAAAGGGATATTTAGGTGTCTCTAATGTTGTCTCTCATATAGATACATCCTTCCTGGTAATGATGAGTTATATCAAGAAGGTGGCAGAAGCATGGCAGCATGCACCAAGGCAGCTTACTGCAAAACCTAATGTCTAAAATATTCTTGATGCCTTTTTTTGGACTTGCACAGTTACACCATGAAAGAACTTTTGTACCTGTTGCCTTTGGGGAATAGCCATGTAGAAGTCAGTTGCGGTCGCAGTTCTTATGTTGTCCTTATCATTCTCGTGATTTGTGGTTAAAGCAGTGACATATCAGCATGTTAAATTATTGTATTACATTGTTGATGACTACAGTGTAACCTTCACAGATTTACTATGCATTTGGAATGGGACTGTGCATCGCTGCATCTGCATAGCCTACTGCCGAACATGGGCTGCATTTCATCAGCTATCTCAGCTGTGTTTGCAAAGCTTGCATGTTGAAGTTCATGGCATCTTATAATTTTATGAGAAAAATATAGATGGGCAGACTCCTTTCCCAGGCTGGCTTGTTTGTATATCTTGGATGGCAGTAAAGTGGCTGAAATCTGGTCCAACTAAGTATAATTTCTACCCTGAAAGGCTGATAGGGAGTTTGTGTGAAAATCTTACATGATAAAAGAGCAGTATAGATCTTTTCTGTACCTACTAATCGGCCCATTCAGTGCTCATTTGCAGAAGATGCTTTGGAAACCAGGTGTTTTGTAATTTCTCAGCCAGTATATTATTTATTATGTTAGCTACTATAAATCAGTAAAGGCATGGATTTGCAGCTGACACAGTTCATCCACAGAATCAAGATACTTGAGCCTGCTCCACAAGATCCTTCTTGACTGTCTCTCATACATTGTCTCTTCAGACATTCTCTCATACTTAGTGGATCGTGGCCTATGATCTTGGCTTTTCTTCTCAGAAAAAAATTTGCAGCTAGTATTACATGAGAAATAAAAAGAATTATAAAAATGTTTTTCTGTTCCATAAGAATATTAATGGAAATGGTTTTTATTATTCTTAGCAGATCAAAAATTCAAAAACTTGAAAAGTTTAATGAACTAAAACTAAGCAAATGTTCAGTATAGGTTAATAGAAACATTTTATTTTCTACATTTTTATAACCTTTTTGTATGAATTATTTTGCATTACAAAAGGCAGTTTCAGTAGAAAAAACATCAAATTTAAAAGTGCCAAGTATCCCACTTTGTCAGTTTTAAAACTTTTTTGGGTTTAACGTATTTTTCAAATTAGGAAGTTCATGGCAAATCCCACTTCCCAGCAGTAATTTCCTAACATATTGGTCATCAGAAAAAAAAATCTACTTGAAAAACTTCAGTGTCTGAAAATTACTAATACAAGCTAGTACATACACACCATCTCTCAGCAGGTCTTTGTTCGGCAGTTAAGGGATGTAACTTCAGAGGGCATGCAGGGAATTAAGAAAGTCCTACTGAATTCAGTACAAAATGAGATCTGCTTTATGAAGCCAGTATGATAACTTTGAATATCTGGGACATACGTTGAGCTACATGATGGCATGATGGTATGAGACAGGCAATAGCAACAGAAAACAACCTATATTTAAAACTTACATAGCCCTTCAGTCTAAATTGGATTAAGCATTGGTCTATTAAGAACACTGAATATACTGGGAACTCTTATCATGTGCTTTTTGTAACATGTCCATAGGGTTTGGCAAGTCACTTTTCAAAGCAGACATTCATCTGCTGGGAATAGATTCTGTCACAAAATATTCAGGGTGTACCAGGTTTGGCGAGAGACAAGTGACTCTTCCTTTTTCCAGGTACTCACCTAGGAGACAACTTCTATGGCACCCTACTTTTGCAGTGATTTCTGCAGTAAGGATAAACCCATGTAGGTCCCCATTTCTTAAAATCTTTACTTAAGAAGTTGCACCTTGTGGTGAATGCTTTGAGGTTTTTGTTTCATTCTATGTGAGATAGCTTGTCAAGTAAATGGGGCACAGTTTCAGAATAAATATTTCTGAATTACAGTAACCCTTGCAAATACCATGTAGCTAAAACTCTTTATGGAAAAATATTGTATATAAAATTGTCTGGTCTCATCTTTCCTATATATTATGCATTCCGTAGGTTTCTATATTCGAGGTAACACTTGTGAACACACATTACTTTCTCCAGATGAGCCAGTTTCTTCTTTCTCTCAGTGGGGAGAGGCATGGCTCCTGCCTTGCCTTTTTCTTCAACAAGTTCCCCTTTAGTAATGAACTATCAAAAATGGGCTTCCTGAGCTTTGTATCCCAGGAGTGAATGTAGGCGTTCTAGTACAATGGAAGAAATGACCATATGTTCTCTTTCCTTAGGCCTTGGGTTAAGCTCCATATTGCTTTCAATTAACTTGCTAAAAATTAGTTCCTCCGTTGTTCCTAGAAAGTGTCAATGGTGCTTATGAGTTAAGCCTTTTGCCTACATACTCATTTCTGTTGTGTTCTATTTGGACGAAGTTTTAATTCCCTGTGGATTTCAGATGATTGACCCAGAGAGAAAGCCGAGTCTGTGTGACAATATGGTCTTCAGTTACCACTGCCAACACAAATAAATGGCTTCTTTCTAGCTCTATCATAAGTAATCTGAGTGGGATTCAGATTTTTGATAGACTTCAAAAAAATCCCACACACGAAACAATACACTGTTTTAAAAGAAAATCAGATTTAAGGCAATAAAGCATTCTTTATCTTAGAGAATGTTTTTCTTTCCTCGTTTCAAAGTCAGACAAGTGGGAATCTGGAGTTGTCCACCTGAAACAGGGAAACTTGCGACTTCATGATTTTATTCTAAATTGTGCTTATCAACATCTAGTGATATCTGTATTCTTATGTTTTACACAAAAGACTGGGAAATTTGGAGAATGACATTACAGGTAGATGAGTATTTCTTCACTGATGAAATACTGTAAGATTATTATTACATATTACAAGTCAAGAGACTTGGAAAAAATATTGATTTTTTAAGTCTGAGGATGCTGAAACTTGAGCCTAGCTGTAAATCTTCAATGAGCATAAAAAATTCATCCCTTCTGAAGATCCTTTCATGACAAAGCCAACATCTTTGCCACAGTCTTCAAGTTAGACATTAATTCTCATATAAGTATTCAAACAAAATCACCTTATTTTCTGAGCTACCAGGCCACTGCAATGTGCACTTCCTACCAGCAGAACTGTGAGTTCAGTATTTCTGAAAATCAAGTTATTCAATTTAATGCCCACAGATAGATTCAAGTGTCAATCTCTAGGTGCCTTACTTCTTTAAAAATGTTTACTGCTTGTGAAAGATGTGTAGGATCCATGTACCTTCAGCACTAAAGCACTAAATGACATTCCCAGGTTGCTTATGTAGATTAATTTTTATTCCCTAATGACCAAACTACATTTGCTTACTGCAGATGAGGGGCAGTAAGACCCTAATTGCCATGAATTCAAGAGGAGGAAATTCAACAGTATTCAAAAAATTACTGGGATGTCAACTGGGAGATGACTTTTTTCTGTTGTTCTCTCATGAAAATAGGTGAATTCAAAGGAAAAGCAAGTGTAATTTCTTTGCAGAGACTGATTATAATTTTGTCCTGAGAAAAGGCCTAAAAAAAGGTTACATTCTGCTCAAAGAAATATATAAAAAGAATACCTATTCTTCAGGAAACTTTAGCTCTATAATGTTGCCAACATTACTAGAAGGTAGTTTCATCTGTCACATAATGTAAACAACATCAGTGATACAATAAGCACTAGTTAGATGTCTAAACGTTCTGAATAAAGCTGCATGCTTTGTAATCTTATTTTCTTTTTCATTCTAAAGCTTTCCTTTAGTTGTCCTAGTTTGAGCCTTTTTCTGTGAATTCTTACGTTTTGTTTTACTCCAGTGAGACTGACCCAAGGCTTTCATAGCCATTTTGCTTTGTTTGACAAGAACCGTCATAACAAAGTATGTAAAAAGGCATCTTTAGTAGCTTTGAAATTAACTTCTCTGATGCTTAGTACTAAATGATTGAACAATTGTAATAATCTCATTTTATTCTATAACTTAAAATTAAAATCTTTAAGGATAACTTCATAAACCAAGATATTTTTAAAGCAAATTGTCTACTAAAATTATGGTAGCAGTAGACATTTGTATATGTGTTATAGAATAGTTTTTGTCATATTTGTATGCAAACACATAAAAGGTACACTTAGAGCTTATTTATCTTTTAAACTGTACTACTTAAAACTTTTTGGCTTGGTCTTTCAGTCAAGCTTTGTGAATCTGAGTGCTGAGACATTCTTACAATGGGTTCAGAGACCATGGTGATGCCCAAGTTTCAAGGCCATCCGAAAGTCCCCCGAGTATAGATGCCCATGTAACTTGTTAATGAAACTTGCCGTGGGATCAAGTTAAAGATTTAATATATAGCACTGTTTCTAAAATTGCCATGCACCAGAAAGAGTGGTGAAAATGTAAAAATGAGCATGCAAGCAGGAACAAATTTTAAAAATCTTTAGAAAAACAGTCATAGCTGCTTGGTTTCTGTAGAGGCACACCGATAGCATGATTCGTCTGTGACTTATTTTACATATCTGCTTAAGATGAGATATAATCACACCTATTTCTCTCCACTGAATATAGAAGTATTCTTGAACAACTAGCTGAGAAATAGGCATCTATATTCAGTCAGATGAATCCTATCCTTATGCTCTGAAATGGCCCTTAGAATTATATTGAGTGCATAGTGTAAAATGAAGCCTGTCAATGTATATGAAGTGGTGTGCTGGAAGTATGAATTTCCCAGGCCATATAAGCCCAGAGCACTGTAAAATGATCTGAAGAGAATGACAGAAACTGTAACGACCATACCCCTATCTGCCAATACCTGAGTTAAAAACTAAGCAAGACAATCAGCCAAGATATCTGACATAAAATAGTATCCATGAGAGAGATAAATCCAGTTCTTTAGTCACTTACTTCATCTAAAACTTATTAACATGCACAATATTGGTTAACTCTCAGCTTGCTGCATTTAACAAAAATCTCTGTTGCAGGTTACTTAGTTATAGAAAATCCATCAAGTAAGTTGATTAAAGATTTTTATATTGTGGTCATCGGTGAGTCTCAATGTGTGGTTCCCTCCTCTATGTTTATTAGAAAGAAAACCTCCAAGCTGCATATAAATCATAAAAGCATGACTAATTGCATGGTAACTGGAGAAATGCTTTCTCTCTCTCTGGGGTGAAGCCTGCATGTCTGTGTTTTAGCTTGGGAAGTAATACAGGGATATTTAAACTCCTTGGGGTTTAAAAACCATGTCATTATGAGAATGAGGTCACTGCAATATTTTATATGTCTAAAACCTCACAATGTATAAAATGTTTTCTGTGTGACAAAAAAGTATTATGTACTTTAGAATGCAATGATAACTTTACAAATTTCCATTAATGTCAAAATCTCGCCTCGGAATGCGACTACCTATAAAAACAATCCTACCCTACAGTACTGTTAACATTAGCAACATGAAAAATTTGATGAGGGGGAACAACAAGGGGAGAAAATGCTTCTATTTTAAGTGGCTGAAAACAAACCAAATAAGCACGTTGTAAGCAATTTACAATTGTCTGCCTATAACTATCAGCTGCTATTGAACTGAAAAACATTGTTTTTTAATAAACTGCAGTTAAATAAGAATAAAAAGAATGACAAAGAGATTCCCTGTAGGTTTCTAATTCTTCTGTCATTATTTTCAGGCCAATAAGCAAGAAATCCTTCCTACAACATGTCGAAGAGCTTTGCACAAACAACAACCTAAAGTTTCAGGAAGAATTTTCGGTATGTTGCTAGCAGTTGTCACAACATCGCAAGACCTTCAGTCGTTACATGTGTCACATTTCATGTCCATTTTAAGCAGGCAAGGCCGTGAAGGACTCTGGCCTTGATAATCAATACCCAATTACCAGGTTGATTGTTTAGAAAGTAATATTACACTGATTTGGATTCTGCAGTCTACACTGCAACCTGATCAGAATTATTCACCTAAGTGTCAGCAAAAGATGAGCTGCTTTAGACTCTGATCCTTGCAACACCATAATATTTATGCTCTTTCATATGTAGTGATGCATACATATGAGATATATACGATGAGAACAGTTTATAGTTTTCTAAGATATATACAGGTATTTTAACTGCTTTAAATAAGTTCATTTTCCTGAGTGATGACAAACCCAGAAACACAGCTGACATTTATTCTGCGAAATATTCAGGCCCCGGTCATACTGCCATGGAACTCAGAAATGTTTCTCTTTCACAGGTTTCAGTGCAGGAAGTAAAATGTTTGTGCATGGTACTTTGCTTTTTGTTCCTCTACAAATAATAGGTCATACTCTTCATGCTCTTGAGAATAGCCTCCATGTGAATAGCCTCCATCTCCGTATGTGAGTAGATGAACACAGCAAGCCTGTCTTTCTTTCTGAAAAGAGACCAGCTTGCAAAATATACATTACATATAATGCATATATACTATCAAATTTAAATCTCAAAGTTTTCACTATTTTCATTAAGTAACATTTTTATGGCTATCCTATTTTTTTCTCAACCATATCTTCTCATTATTTCAGAGTCTTTATCATCATCATTTTTAACACATACAGTCATTTGCCCTCCCAAAAATAATTTGTCAGTGTCCAGTGACTTTATTATTATGGAGTTATAGATTTACCGTGAATTGCTTACCAGTTGGATTAACAAAAATGAAGACTCAACAATTGGCTTTTCTTCTGCTAGATTATAGTATTTCAGTCTCTGAGGGAAAACCAACAAAAGTGTGAAAAGATTAATGGTATTTCCTACAGGTTTTTTGTTATGCTCCTTAGGTAAAATTGGTCTGGATTTAATAATAAAAAACACCATAAAATTCTCTGAGCAATAAAGTAAGGAGAACTTTTTTTCCAAGAGCAGAAGTGTTATTTCACTTGAACAAGAGTGATTATAGGTATATTATGCATGACTGAACAGATGAAAAGTTTTACTAGCAGTAACATTTTCACATATTAACATTCATCAAGGGAAAGTTTCTACTGTTACTTTCTTTAGGTGTGACCCACATTGAGGAAGCCTTACAGCATTTTAATGCCTTAAAACTTAAACAATAGTGTTTTATCAAAGCAAAATCTTGGCAATCCATTTCAGATTCAAAGAAATACAAGTAGCTGAGATTTCATTCAACTAAATTATATAGTGAACTTATAATCAGCGTTTTATATGCTATTTGGGCTTCCATTGTTTTTCTCTCTAAGCTTCAGCTTCCGTGTCTTAGACTGCAGTGATATCTTCTTAGATGACTTTCCCAAGGGCAAGCAGAATTGCAGGGTAGGTCCAGTCCCTGATTGAGGTTATGTCTACACTATCTGTAGCACCTGTCTTATCAGATGAATAATAGGACTGACAACGTGCTAGAAGTGACATCAGAAATGACAATGCACAGAAACAGGCAATGCACACAACAAACAAGCAGACCTCATAACCTGCATTGTTTGTATCCACATTCATCATTTTAGTTTCACATAAATGACTCAAGGCTCTTACAGGGTGTGTAGGAGAGATGAGCTCAAGATCTAAAGCTGTGGACCGTTATATCTAAAGCACATAACTAAAAGCATGGTGCTGAGCTTGCTTGGGCTCTCTGGCCACCTCTGTACTAGTCCATTCAAGTATACCAGGAACTGGACGTGAGAATATGATAGTTTACACTAATAAACTGTTTGTACATTCCTTGCCTTGAATTTGGACTGTTTCAGTTAGTGGTCTTACAGGACAATTCCAAGATATGTTTTGATAGGTGAAGTATTCTAGAGATCATTTACAACAGGCAGTTTGTAGACAGCAAATCTGTTTTGGAGTTTTCCAGCATGAATGTGGCTCTTTCCATTTCACCTAGACTTGGAACCCAGAGACATTCCTGGTCATAATCTAATTTGCTGGATCAACCAAGCTACTGTGCCTGGAGATCTCCAGGGTTCAATCTTGGTCTACGTGTGAATATGACCTGTGTGTAAACATGATGAGAAGAGAATCTGAACCTCAGAATGGATCTGGATCCATGACAGAAAAGCCAAGTTTAAAGAAACCATAGGGAGCCAGAGTAACTGATGTTGGGCACCATCTAGTTGATATTCAAACATCCAATTTTCCTGATGATTCCTGTATCTCAATACCTTTGGGAAATCAAGTTTTTCTAGTAACTGGCAAATTACTGAAACAGAAATACTTCTATAACTGTTTTATGATAAATTCTGTTCATGACTAAAAAAGCGAAATACCTCCAAATGTTGCCACAGTTCCATAAAAGTACTACAGTAATCAAACTGTAAATTAATTATTTCAGAGTTTTGAGTCTGCAAAGAAATGTGGTCTTTATGGCAAATTGTTACTGAATCTGGGGATCCAAATAGTATTTCCTCAATTCTGAAAATAATCATTTAGGCTGAAATCCATACTGATGGTGAAAATTGGTATGAGGCTTTTGAGCACTTGCTCAGATATGGAAGCATCATTACAAAAATAACATAATCTGCTTCTTTATATCCTTTCTACTACGAAGTACTGTGAAACAGTAGTTAACTGGCAAGCTAAGAGGAGTGAGGCAAATGAGGCAAGTTAAAGTTCACATGACAGGCACATAATACAGGATCCCATGGCCCGTAACACCTGTAAAATGCCGTAGGCATTTTAGCTGTGTTTTTCCTTCATTCAAAATCCAAGGAGAGAAATTCTGTGGGAGAGTTTCAGTTTTCTGATTGAGGGAAATTTTAACGTCTTCACCCTTAGCTGTGTTTTACTGTTCTTATCAAGTCCTGACAGGAATGCACAGAAGTCACTCTGCTGTGTCTGAGAGCAGGGATCCATCTCTAGGTTCAGTTATAGGATTAGGGCTTTCCTTCTCTCAGGGATTATTAAGACAAAAGGCAGAGGCAACTGAGTGCCTTGAGTATGGCAGAGGTTTATTAAAATATAAGGTTTTAAAATAATGAGTGTCTTTAAAGATATTTTTCTACAGTATGTTACAGTCCTTCATTTAGTTTTGTATTTAATTTATGTCTGTTAACCATGGTTTTTAATTCTTTAACATATGGATATATATGTACTGTCAGTCATTCTTTATAAGTTGATTTGAAGTCTGAAACTTTCTTTTTAGAAGGGGCATTACTCATAGGCTTTTCATCCCTAGGAAACATAGATGTTTAGAGAGATTTTGAAGGACATGAGTGTGATCTGGTCCCTTGTTAATTTTCAAAGGGATATGACCATCTAGTTCTCTGCAATTCTTCCCCTAGTTCTTTCCCCAAGGAAATATGTGTCAGAGCTAGGCAGAGAAGTCAGGTCCGTTGTCTGAAGGCTTTTATTGTGAAACCATCTTTCCCCTCCTGTTCAGAAGCACCTGCAGTTATATCATTGAGAATATAATTATAAAAGTGAAGTAGTCCTCATGCTTCAGGACATAGGATTTTTGTCTGATGGTGAAAGAAACAAATTTCTCATGGGATAATATGGCATATAATAGAGTCAAGGCTTTTGAGCTCTCTTTTATATGTCAGACATTATCCATTGTACAAAGTAGGATATCAGATCAGATGAATTATTGACTTGCTTTATTACATTGCTTTTTAAATTATCCCATTTTGATAATGCTCATATTAAATTATTCTTAATACCGGAACCCATCAAATAAGGCCGACAAAATATTTGAATTAGCAAGAAAGAAAAACACCGTAATAAAAAAAACACTTCTTTTTTTTCCATTTTTAATTATCTCTTTTATTTATTTATTTATTTGCTAACAGTTGCCCATTACATTTTATTTATAGAAGACAAACTGTCTCAAATACACAAGCAAAAAAGCACTCAAAAATAATTGTTGAATCTGATAGCAGGGCAGTCTGCCCCACTTTTGGAAGTAGCCCATGCAGAGAATAACTGCTAATATCAAAAGACAAATTGGAAAGGATTACTCTGCACAAGAGGCAAAATTTTGTATTGTTCTCATTCAAAGCAATAGGTAGGTCTCTTCACTTGTATCTCAGCTAGGCGTTGAAATAGACTTGCATATAACATTTGTCAAACAAATGGAAAATCTATTACAGTTAACATAGTTGTTAACTTAGAAATTCTGGCTAAATTCTGGCTTTTCTGAGTTTTCTATTCTCTTATCACCACTACGAGATCATCACACTGATACGTTTTCTCCATTAACAAGTTATGAAGCTGTCCCCACTCTTTTACTCAGCTCTGGAAATTGTACCTATTTCTTTACACAAACACCCCCGTCAAATAAGTTCCTCAACATGAATGGTTTATCCACCTCAGCCCTTCAGTAACAGAACTAATGACCAGTTATGAAAGTGCAGTACAGCCCAAAATAACTCTTCCCACCCCTTTCCCAAACAGTCCCGTGAACAACAGCTAATTGCCAGTTGTCTCAACTTAATTAAATTCTCATCAGTTCTCATGCTGTGGCAAGAACTCTCCCAAGCTACAGCAGTCAGGAAAGGGCATCTTTCAGGAGTAAGACTGACTCAGTAGGGCATGGAAACCAAGCATGCGACTTCATGAAAAGACAGAAAAGAACTACAGAAGGTGATAGGCCGACTTTATCCAGACTTGTAAAGGTGAAAGTTCATGTAAGCTTTAATTGTTCAACCTGATGACATTGTCTGCAGCGCGCCATCGAGCGTTGCTGGTGTAACTGGGGCTGACAGTGAGGTGGAAAGCTGGAGCTTCAGCTGTGCTTAGAAATGCTCTCTGCTGCAGAACTGAGGAGTTCTTCCTCTTACCAGATGTTTGTGTCATTTTTTATATTCACTGAAGGTGAAATGCGGAGTTTTGCCAACAAACGTTTATTCCTCTACAGGAACTTCCCAAGTATCTTGAAGACCTTGCTTCGACCGATGCTGATCTGCCATGGAACAGGGCTAAGAATCGTTTCCCAAACATAAAGCCATGTATGTGTGTTTACTGATCAACTCCTCTGTTGTGCTCTCTGCCTTCAATAGTGCAGCATATATTCGGAATGCAACTGTATTTTTGTTTGCTCTGCCTTTGAAATGGCAGTACAATCATGTCCACATTATGAAATAATTTTTGTCAAGTAATCTGTCTTTTCATTGTGTTTTTTTAAAGACAGTTTTATTTGCAAGTAGCTTTCAACTTGCTTTTGCAAGCTTTAACATGCAGGTGCAAGAAACTGTAGCCTCAATAGTTTCTTAGCTTTGTAATTCAAGCCATGTAGCAAACTCTTTAACATTCTTCCTTGGTTTTTTCCCCTTTAGTGAGAAGTAATTTTTTAAAACATATAAAATCCACATGTTTGTGCATTCAGCTACCCCAGAGCCTGAGTGTGCTTTCTTGTGGATACATGTACATGTGCTGCAAAGGTTCTCCAGCAGATCAGAGCGACTGCATGATAACTTATAAGCCGGGGCTAGATTTTATCACAGGAGACAGGAGTCTGTCTCTCTGTACTCAACACTGCTTCATTTTTCAGTTAATAAGACAAGAAATGTCATTATTATTTTAGGCATTAGCTGTGATGTGAGATGGGGAGCATGGCATTCCTTGGTTAATAATGCTACATTCTGTGCTATTAACTTTTCAGAGCAGCTGTTCTTGCTATCTACTGCCTTGTTCAAGACATACTCTAAGTTACAGTCACTAAAAACTGATATTCATGACACACAATGAAATATAAACAGATACATTTCATAAGTCTTTAACATTGTATTCTATTTTTTTTTTACTGAGTTGAGGACCAAACATCAAAATTTGGAATGCTTCGTTTCAGCATTTACTTGTTCACATATACATCTTTCCTGTTTTTTGTCATTTCTCCATACATACCAGGGACCCAAATCAGAAACCTTCAATCATTTTTTTTTCTGTAATAATGAGATTACCTTCTGTAAAAGAAGTAAAAGTATGTAAAAGTGCCAGGATCTGGCTCAAATCTGTGACCTGGGCAGCAAGTATATAGGAAAGACTGTCAGACCTCTGACCCTGCTGTCTGATTCACACCGAGTTTGTCTGTGCTAGAACAGCCTGGCTGAAAGTACTTGTGCTACCTTTAGGCAGAGGATCCTCCCATATACATAAAATTGAAGGTTTTGGCATGTTCACAATTTTAATTAAAAATTACTATATTAAAATATGTCTGGAAGATTAAAGGATGACCATACAGTGATGGAAATTGATTAAATTCCCTTTGTAATTAGTATTCTACTATGTCAAGTATTGTTAGATTAGCAACAATAACAGTAACTTTTATTTCTTAGCACTCCAGGAACACTTGTTACATGTGTCTATGGTTTTTGAATAAATCTTTTCATTAACTGGACTTTATTTCCACGATAGATAATAACAACAGAGTAAAGCTGATGCCTGATGCTGGTATTCCTGGATCTGACTACATTAATGCCAGCTATGTGTCTGTAAGTAGAAAGTCTCTCACATATTTACTATATTTGTTTTCTGGTAGAAGAGAGAGTCAAAAATTAACTTGCAAGAAGAGGATTCTAATTTTTCTTGGTTCAGGATCTGGAGCTGTTAGGAGCTGTTATATATGAACAGGATGATGTAAAGATAGCTGAACTGAAAAGTTTCATAGAAATGGCTAATAGTTTTGGTGAGTGGGATTGGTATGCCCCTTACTGTTTTGTGAAGAAGAAACTAGTACTGTATTTCTCGTCCTCAGCTTTCTTCCTAGACCTTCTATTTTCTCAGTAAACTCTTATTTTATATTTTTTTACCTCATAATTGTCCTGTTGAAGTTCCAAGTGTGGCTTTTAATTATGCATTTAATTTGTTGTAGCAGTGGCTGGTGGTCTCACATGAGGTCAAGACTTGATTTGTACTAAGCATTGTTCAAACACATAGCAAGACCTGTGGACTGTAGTCTAAACAGATGACACAGTGGCATGTAGACACAGTTATTTCCAGGTAACTAAGAGACATTCACAGAGGAAAAGCAATAGAGCATTGTTCCTCTCTCATCAGCAAAAGCTATTTATTCCCTTTAGCTGTCCTGCTTCTGACAGCAGATAGGAAGAGCCATGCCACATTGTTCCTTGATGCTGGGACTGTACACAGAACCACTGAGGAGGAGACCAGACAGCTCAGAGCATGGCTTCATCTTTGCCTTTCCTGTGATGAACTGATGTGCCAAGGCTTAGGCAGGGAACACAAACAGCAGCTTCCAAAGAGCTGCAGCAAAAGCCAGCTGCAGAGAGTGCTCCCTGCTGAGATTCTGCATGTCTTTACTGCATACAGGCACTTCAGGTCACCGTTCATCAGTGAACAGACAACTGTAATGCTACCATTTCTCAAGGCTAAAGCTTTACCCTTTATATGCTCTCACTTTCCCTATTTGTGGATGTGTAAATATGTAATTGCATATAGCTGTAAATATACAATGTGTGTGTGTGTGTGTGTGTGTGTATTTACATTCAATTTTATGTAAGTGTATATGGATATGTGTATTTGTATATTTTATCTAGGTTTATATGCATACACATAAAAAGAGGTCTTTATATATTTTAACAAATGGGAACGTGGCTGCTGTTTTTCTTTTTATTGGTTAAACGAGAAAAAGTCAGTAACAGAATTATGAGTTTTGCATCCCTGAATTATATTCTCTCACCTCACTCTTAAACTAGGGAGGATTAACATAGTTTCTCACTGCCACCTGTTCTGTATATTATAGACGGAGTAAGTAACAGGCAGCTGTGAATTATAGGGCTATAATTCCAACAAGGAGCTTCGGTGGTGCTATAAACCACTGTGTCAGTTGTATTGAACAATAAGTAGAACTCTGTGATATTATAGACTGCTAGCTCGACAGCATAAATTTATTGCTATTTTTGCTATTGTTGTTATTTTAGACTTTCTGTAGTACCTAAAAGTTCTTGTAGGGTATGCTTAGTTTCTTTGAGGAAACAGGTCCATGAGAACCCACGCATTGACAGCATATACACAAGATTTTTTTCTACAAAATTCCTTCTCCCCAAGTCTTACATCTATTTATAAATGAATTAAACAGCACACACCAACACGAAAATGAAAGTCAACGCCTACAGCAGGTTTCTTGAAGACTTTTTATCAGAGATCATTTGTTTAAGTAAGCTCCAACCCTAAGTTACAGCAGATCCCTGAGGATCACTGGAAGGACAGCATCATCAGTGTGGTGTGTACCTTGCACTGCCTATCAAACTGCTCCTTAGTAGTTTCCTTGGCTCCACTGCTCCTTAGCACTATTAAATTCTACTTTGTTGGCCACCTCCTGACATAGTTCTTGGTGGCCTCTGACTGGATCTGCAGTAAGGCTAATATGAAGGCTTAGATATTTTTAAATGGGAATTACTGACCTGATGTCCCTGTTATTTCTCTGCTAAATGCATTTCTATTAGGATGACGTTGGTTCATAACTGATCTACAGTGGAAAAAATGCCATTAATTCCTTAAGTTTCCAAGGCCATCTGCCATGCAATGATTAGCCAGGCCTATGCCAGTTTATTTAGTACATCTGACAAGGTTTTAGCCTTAGGCATGGTAGCTACAGCTATGAGTCACATGCAAACCCTTTTTTTCCTTACCAACCATTATGTATTAAATATTTTCTTTTTCTTAGGGTTATTTATGTCCAAACGAGTTTATTGCAACTCAGGGACCATTACCAGGAACAGTGGGTGATTTCTGGAGGATGGTATGGGAGACAAGAGCTAAAACACTTGTGATGCTTACACAGTGTTTTGAAAAAGGACGGGTAAGTGACCAGTGTATCAATTAACAGCATTTGATATAATTGGAAATTTTGTGTGTAGTTTCTTGTGAAGATTATAACATGATTGTTGTTAATTAGTAATCATCTCCCTGCAGATAAGATGTCATCAGTACTGGCCAGAAGATAATAAACCCGTGACTGTGTTTGGGGATATAGTGATTACTAAATTGATGGAGGATATTCAGATAGACTGGACTATCAGAGATCTAAAAATTGAAAGGGTAAGCCAGAACTGGAAGCAGATTGAATAAAACCCATCCAGCACCAAAGAACATCAGATGTACTCCATCTCACCCAACTACTACTCAGTATTCTTCTTTTAATCTTTTGATGAATATGCACTGTCCTGCCTGGTTCTCCTGCATTTTGTTTTCATTCGTGCTCTTTTTTTTTCCTGAGAATCTTCTCCAGTTCCTGTCACAAAGAGCTCAGATAGTTGTCCAATGTGCTGTGAAGGGTCTATCAAGGTTACAGAACCTCTTGTCTGGTGGGAGGTGAAGTTTCTATTTGGACACCTCAGTTGTCTCTTCTAGAAAGGAGTAATCCTAACCTTCTGGGATCAGACAAATCCCTTTGAAAATATCCCTCTCAGATTAAAGGGCAAGATTCTTTGGTGCAGCGCAGCTGTTTTGCATTGTACCACCAGCCGTATTGGCCTCCACCCCCAGGAGATTCACCCAATATAAATGAGAATCATCAGTATTACTCCCACTCTTTGTGCTGGGCAGGGGAGTGGGGGCTACAGCATAGATGTTCATCTTTGTCATGGTCCACAGCTATAGTTTGCACTCTTTGGAAAAATTAGCACCCAGCATTAAGTCAGACCAGCAGGTGGGCATAATGACCCAAGATGAAGTCAGCCTTCTTCTGCACTCCCAACACTGACCAATGTTGTACGTAGTTCAACCAGATCCTAGGACCTGAACTCAGCTATCCAAATACATGTGCTACCACCCTGTGTCATGTGTGTATGACAAAAGGAACAGTTTGGGGATTGTCTAAGTGGTCACCTCATAAGAATATGTTGTGGCCGTAGTACAGGACAATTGAACATTTTAAATAAGTGAGAGAAAATATTTTTTTTTCAGCTAAAATAAGATGTAGAGTAAACAAGACTGGAAAAGGGACTATTTAGAGTAAAAATGCATGCCAACAAAATATGGAGTCACCTGTGTTAACCAGGGTGAGACTTAAAAGAAAACAAAACATAACCTGACTTGACTAAGTGATCCATTTACTATGACTCAACTACCCTCCACAAAAAGCTATGTCCTTTACAAGCATGTAATTAAATGTGCCATGTTGCTGGTTTTAAGACTGTACTTCATCTTCCATTCACAAATGGATGGATTCTTGATCATCTTCCAGTGAAGGTAAAAAGCATATGTAAGGCAAATCATTCACAATTATTGCCATATTGCATTCCAAGTCACTTCTATTTTGTTTTTATGTTTATCCATTTTAAAAATATAGACTCAATAATTGTTCACAGTTGTTCAGTATTTCTTTCAATATGAAAAGAGCAAGTGGTTGGTTCTAAATAAATTTTAAAAAAGCCTGGTTCATTCCACAACAGTTGATTGAACTGTGATACTCCTTGCTGCAAGATATTGTGAATGCTAAAACCTTACAGAGCTTCATGAAATCTAGAGAATTAGAAGATAATTCTGACAAGTACTATTAAATTTTGAGATACCCTCTCTGACTTCACACATCACAAACTGTTAAGAATGGAAAAGATATTCTGTGCAACTATAGATACGTTGTTGTCATGTTTTATAATTTTCCCTAAGATTTTGCCCTTGGCATGATACTGTGCTTTTATTCTTATGTCTTTCATAGTTAATTTAGATATCAGATCATAACCAGTTCTTTTCTTTGAGTCGCTATTGCTGCTGCTCTGATTGAGAGATTATCAAACACTTAGAAAACATATCTCTGTTCACCAACATATGTGTGTTTGCCTTCACTGCATTAGATCAGTCCTAGAATGGCTGTTTTTCTTTAAATAAATGTATCATCCCAGTTCACTAAACTTCTAAATGAGCTATAGAAACTTCAACATGTAATCTACAAATTACATTGATACAGTGACTGGAGTCAAGTGGAGAGTAACTGCTGAAGTCATTGATACTTCTTGAAAGATGGACTTGATGTCATCTCTCAATAAACCTGCCATAAGATCTGTGCACAGCAAATGATCCCTTGATAGAATTACATGTGATGATTATTATGCTATTCTGACTTTCTTTTTACCAAGAAAATGCTGAGAAGTTTATATGTAGCTTACTGGATCTTCTGTCACAGTCCTTCTGCAAAAACTGCCTTATGTTACGTTTTTCAGCATGGAGACTGCATGATGGTGCGGCAGTGTAATTTCACTTCTTGGCCGGAACATGGAGTCCCTGAAACTACTGCACCAATCATCCACTTTGTAAAACTTATCCGCGCAAGTAGAGCACATGATAATACTCCAATGGTGGTTCACTGCAGGTAAGCGTATTCACAAAACCATCATTTAGAGTCTTGGAATTTCATGTGCATTTTAATGCTCAGGGAAGTTGCCAGAAGAATGAAAACTGAGTGCACAGGCATGGTTCTAGCATGGACAGCAGTGAAGGTTTCTCTAGCAGAGCTCCTTGATCCGTTCTAGGAGGTAAAATACCAAAATGTGTTTCTGGAAATCGCACTGAGGTGATGTCAGTGAAATAGTTACTTCAACAATTATCATAAGGTACTGCTGGATTTATCTTGATTTTTGTCTTTATCATAAGAAGAGGAATAGGAACTGACATGTTATTTTTAATTACTTCTACTATAATTAGAGCTCTTCTTAAGAAAAAAGTATTAAAAATAGTATTTAAAATGTACATGTCACATATCAAGAGGAAGATATTATTTGGGAGCCACAGAGAATGACAAATAGGAAGGGTTTGTATATGCCAGATTTGAAGTTTGGATGCCTATAAACAGCTAAAATCTATATTTAGGCTCTTAAATAAATGGTCTGGTGGTTAGAAGTGTTCAGCTGTCATAGTTCCCATTTATTTCATACTCAACACTCTTAAACTGCTATTTCAAAGGGTAAATGTGTGGGGAAGGCTAAGTCTTCAGGAAGGTGGTGAGTGTGTCTGCATTTTTTATGCAGGTCAGTGTTCCCACTGAATGAGTGGGCACTCTCTGAAATAGTGATCTGAACTCTGAGGCCTGCGAGTGATTCTTTGTCTCATTCTCACTCAGTGTGAGTCTAGAAATACATGGAAGGAAAAGCTGTATTTGGTGTCACAAACCTCTTCCCTAAGTGTCCAGTTATCGTGTCTGGGATTTCTTTTTATTTATTCTCAATATCCTATAGGTGCCATCCACAATGGGTGATAAAGATTAATTTCATTTAATATCATTGTCATTGACATTTTGGCATTTCCCTCTACTGAGGCACCAGGAGAAAACTACTCAGTCTTCCCATTTTGAGGACTCTTACATGTTCTGGGGCCTCTGCGGTGAATCCTGTCCTCTTTTCACAGCTCTGATGCATAAAGGGGCCAGCGTGGGCCAGATACTCCACCTGTGCTCAATTCCTGATGGTTATAAAGCAACATTGTATGTTCTCATATCCAGAAAACTCATTCATTATTTTCTGCTCATTAGAGCTTGCAAGTTCAAGAGAGCTTTGCTGTACATTTCCTGATTATCTGCAGTGATATACTCTGCAGTTATTATACCAGCTGCAGAGAGGTCTGATAGTGATTTTGAGAAAAGCCTGCTCATTTTCAAACCTTTAAATAAAACACTAGCTACCAGCATGTCCTGTGCACTCATCCTCCTTTTGAGAGTATTTTGCCAGATCCCATGTCATTTTGCCTCAAATACCAAAAGCATCACAGAATCCAGGTGAGATTTCACAGGATTTTGTTATTTTTTAAGATTTTAATTAGTGAGCTCTAGAAAATTCACAGAAAAACTGTAGGGTCATTTTTCCCCTTATACAGGTGGGTTTAGTTATAGCTCATTTGTCCAGTGCAACCCCTTGTAAAAGCAAAATCAGAACATGGCTCAAATCCAGATTTCACTTGATCTCATTCAGCAAGCAGACACACACACGCACACGAATAAATACTGAAAAAGATTTCATTTTTTTCTGAAGCTTTCTTTTCACAATAAACTTACTTTAACCAGAAGTTTCCAAGAAAATATTTTATACTGAAAAATGAACATAAAAATTTATTTTATCTTGCGTATTATGTTTGCAGTGCTGGTGTGGGAAGAACGGGAGTTTATATTGCACTTGACCATTTAACTCAACATGTAAATGACCATGATTTTGTGGATATCTATGGACTTGTAGCCGAGTTAAGAAGTGAAAGAATGTGTATGGTACAGAATCTGGTAAGATTTATATCTTTATCTATTTTGTTTTCCTTTTGTTAAAATGTTACTCATCTGATCATCTGATCTCCTAAAAAGCGAGACTAGAAAGCTCCTAACAATCGGCCTCCTAATACATTTTTCTATCAGATCCTGCTTTGATTTAGATTTCAAGCACTGTGCAAATGTGTGCTTGTATCTATGTAAGTATATTTCACCAGCAAAGTCTTGGCAAGGGCCGAAGAAAGTGCTGAGATATTTAGTTTGTAGAACCTAAATCATGGTTTCTCAGACTTTGAGAAAGTTCATTTCAAGTTTTGGGTGAAGAACAGCTTTTAAATAAAAGATGGATTTGCTCAGGCACTACTGAATTTTACTTTATTTACTACTTAACTGTATTTTTATGTATGTATTTGTAGCTTGGACCAAATTTTTAAGTAGTTATTTAGTTTTGACCTTATTAATCATCCCTTGATTATTTTTAAATTGCTTAAACTAAAACAACCTGTATGGATTGAATTAAGCACAGACTTCAGGATTTTCAAAATCAAGTGCAAAAGAAGTGGATTTCTGGCAGACTTACCGAGTATAGGTGTAAGTCAGTGATGACCTGCTAGTAAGGAAGACATGTACATGGAGACCTGGGTGCTGGTAAAGAAGTAATAGCAGAATTTAAAGCTGATCCTAAACACACAGTGGAATGGAAATCCAGCTGTATTTGCATAAGGCTCCTGGCAAAAACCTCCTGCAGAACAGATCTAATATCCAAGGCTGCTGCCTGAAGCCCTTGAGTCTGCAGCTCACCTGTACCTCAGTGTAGGTGAGCAGCTTCAGGATGAACTTCCACGTCACTGATGGATTTAAACTGATTTTAGTATAAGGAGACTTGTTCCATTAGGAATGCAATTCCACTTATACCATGCCAGAATATACAAAAAGCGTGTCAGAATATAGAGAGAGAGGTTAACCTCTCTTCAGCAATGCACTTCTGCAGGTTTTCTGAGGCCTTCTGAAGATAATGTGTCATGCTGGTTCTTGTAAGAAGCTGTCTGGTTACCAATTGCTTTTAATTTTTCATTTTCAAGTATTGATGCAGCTGAACAATTGCCAGGACTTTCCTGTAATGATGAATTCTGGGAATGCTTTTTTCACAATTTTGACTAGAAGTAGAATCATCTGAAAATAAAGTTGGAAGACAATTTAATGGGAGATGTCCCTTTATAAAAGCCTAAAAACAGGGAGACATTTGAGAAGATAAGATGAGTGTACATTAAAATGTGTTAAAATGTGTAGTATTTTTGTGTACCTCTTCATTTGTGTATTTTGTCAGAGGTTAGGAAAATATGTGCCAAAATGCAACAGAAGATGAGAGTCTCATAGTTATGATTTCCAGACAGATCAAGTATTGCTCTATATGATAGCTGCAAAATCCTGAGGCAGGTTGTTCTCTGTCCAGGCCAAGACTACAAAATGTAGATCAGCACTAAAACTTGGCCAAAGGGAACCAAATCTTGTAAAGTTTTATGGCGGATTCAGTAGTCAAACTATTCTGACAGTTCTGTTATAAAACACTGTTTAGTAGTCTACAATTCAGGTTTTACGTGATCAGCACTGAAGATACGAAGAGAGGAGCAAATCCTTCCCAGAACCCAGTTTAGAGATCCCTCAGCCAAATTGTCTGTAAGACTGGGGAGTAAAATAAATAAAAAAACCTGGTTGCTCTCAGACCAGAAAGATTTCCATTGCTTCACGTTCACAAGTAGCTGTGTGAATCCAGAAGATTATGGCACTTTCAAAGTCTGCCTGCTGAACTGGAATAACCAATCTAAACTCCACTGAAACTTAAGACCTGCATTCCAGAAATCCATATTTTTCCAGTGGATCTGGTAAAGTTTATCACCTCACCAAGACAAGTACAAAGGGTAGTTTGCAGTAACGCCATGCTGTTGCTACAGTGAGCAAGCCATTGCAAAGCACACTGGTAATGTGAATTTCAGGAGCCTGTCTGGTTTAATTATCCGTGGCTCTGGAGCTGTGGCCCTGAAACACATATATCCATGTAAGCAAATTTCTCATAATCCTGAGACACTTGAGTTGAAAACTGATGAAGTTCTGAAACAAAATAGCAATTATTGAGAAGAATAATTATGCTAATATATTTACCCGTGCAAAAGTCAAAGAAGTTAATGTAATTTTGGTCATCTCCATCTGTGGAGATATTAAAAATCCATCGGGACTGCGTCCTGGGCAATGTGCTTTAGCTGACCCAGCTTGAGCAGTAGGTGATCTCAAGAGGTCCCTTCTAACCTAAATGAATCTGTGGTACTGTGATCTGGCTCATTTACTGCACCATGCTTAATCCTTTTTTTTTTTCCTATTTGTTTCTGTTCTTTTATTTAATTCTTATATTGCTTTCTTTTATTTTTCTGTTTTCAGCAATCAATACCCAGAGTTACCATACATCCTTGGAAGTGTTACATTAACTTTAGTTGCCCACTCATTTCATTATATTGTTAAAAGTGCTGCTACAGCTCAAAAAGTATCACTAAAAATAGTGTTATTTTTATTTTGCACTTAACAATGGTACATGCTCCTAGAACATGTAGATTTACTTGAACTTTTGCATTTGAGTGCACCCTGCTGGTTTTCTCTGTACTAGAAAGAGGAAATTTTTCTTATCTAAATATTACATTCATGTCACAGAATCCCAGAATGACAGAATGGTAGGGACTGGAAGGGACCTCTGAAGATCATCCAGTCCAACCCCCTTGCCAGAGCAGGAAACTGTGGTTCAGTTTCTGCAGTGTGGATCTATTGGCAAAAAGTCATCAAACATCTTTTCATAGAACAGGCCTTTACAAAAAATTGTAGAACACCTGATTAGTCTCAGTTATGATTAGTCTAATTTCATATATCTTACTGGGCATAAGAGTTAACACGTTTTGACAAATTTTATTGCATTATGCAGATCAAGCAGACAATATATATGATATGATATATGATATATGATATATGATATACGTTATATGATATACGTTATATGATATACGTTATATGATATACGTTATATGATATATGATATTATGATATATGATATGATATATTATTGATATGATATATTATTGATATGATATATTATTGATATGATATGAGCATTGAGGTATTGAGACTACTGAGTTAAACTGCAGTTACTTTGAGAACATCTAAATGATATATGAAAAAAAGTATTTTGCATTTGAAGTCCATTTTTCTTCTGATCAAAACTCTTTAAATTCACATCTTACAGGCACAATATATATTTCTGCATCAATGTGTGTTGGATCTGTTGTCAAGCAAGGGTAATAGTCAGCCCATATGTTTTGTAAATTATTCAGCACTGCAAAAGATGGACTCTCTGGATGCCATGGAAGGTAAGGAGATACAAATTGTCTCAACTTTATTTTTTCATAGCAGGTGCGTTGACTTGCCCAGCCAAAAAATCCAAAAAAAAATATTTTGACATGCATTTTTTGGCCTCAGAAGTGTAAATTTTTGGCATTTTGCTGCTTTTTAGCCTCCCTCGTAGTAGTAGTCTTTGCTCAAGCTTTCAATTTTTTTTCCCTGCAAGTTCTTTTAAATTCAGCCAAAACAGTTATCTGCCATTAGTTACTTTTTGTTTACAAGGTAGATTAATGTAATGTGTCTGTTTCTGTTGCAGGTGACGTGGAGCTTGAATGGGAAGAAACTACCATGTAAATATTAAGACTGAATATGAAAGATTTTGAAAAGTCATATTTTTCTAAGCACAGGGGCCAAAGTGAATTCCCCTATTTTGATGATTAAAACAAACACACATGATTGACAACTTTTCTTGTATCAATGTGCCTTCATAAATATGTTAAAGTATTTTATTCAGAACACTGAGCAATAATGATTTGGAGTACTTTTGCACAGACTGCACTTCTGGTGTTATATGAATACTGCATCCAGTATGTATTTAAATAGAAAGTGTGTCTGAACATATTCCTTTTTCCAGTTATCTTTGTAAAAGAAGAAAAATGAGCCAAATATGATGTAAAAATTTCATATTCCCATTGAACTTATTTTGACGTGAATTTGCTGTGTTCTTTCTGTTTTGGTTTTAAGTAAAAGCTACAATTCCTTGAATCGTTCTCGCCAGATTGGTTTCAATGTCGTCAACTCTTGCAGATTAATTCCAATGCCATCACAGTGATCTTTACCTAACTGCATGTTCTTGTGTTTTGAATCTTTTTTTATGAGTGGTAGCGTATCAGCTCATGATCCTGAACAGCTGAAGAGTCACCTTCTGACATGGGGAGGATTATTCAGCTTTTACACAGCACACAGTAGCTCTTCAGGGACACTTGGGGCTATTTAAGCCATCTTACAATCAGCGGGTTGTTTTTTTAAATATGCAATGGTGATTGCACATGTTCAGTGCTGAAGAAAGAATTTCCTGCTACTTTTCCAAGCAGATTAAACAAAGTAAAATGATAAATTTATTACATATTACAATGCATTTTAGATTTACTTGAGTAATAGAATGTTTATAATTCATTCACATTTCTTCAATATAACAGTGTAGTATTTTGAAAGGTTTAAATAAATTCAAGAATTTAATAACAATATATTTTATAACACAGAGTTGTCAAGTAAAAAAGGTATTGCTCCTCCCTCCAGTTTGGCGAATCACTGTATACCCTGAAAAGTATGGGAACTAATATTTGGGTATTTCATAAAAGAAAACATCTTCCACTCCCACTGGTTATCATTATAGGAAATAGATCAGAAACAGGAATGAGAGAAGCAGAAAGCTTTTATCTGAGAAGCAAAGCAGAAACTGGTAGAGCAGGAAGACTGCGAGATAATTACAGTGTGTGCCCTGGTTTTACGTGGAAGTGCCGGTATTCGATTGATATTATTGGGGGGGTAGATTGCTAAGTTTTTTGAGTAAAAAAAATTATCATTCTGAATAATACTGCAGCTGTGACCTTAATCTGAGATGCAAAACAATAGCAAAGAGGCTTTGGAGTTGCCATCTTATATTCTGTTTAGACAGAAGAAATGCATAGCCTTGTTGAAGCATCAAGCTCAGGGAAGGTAGACAAAGCTCTCTAGAACCTTGAAGGATGTATGTGTGTGAATGTGTGTGTGCACACACTCTGAACAGAATAATAAATGAACAAAACTTTCCGTCTCTGAAGTGTAGCTACCTGACAGAAAATACTACACAGTATGTAACCTGAGTATTTTTCATAAGTAAATGATGGTTGGTGTTTGGTGTCTTTTTAGAAGCTGGCAAAGATGGTGTAGTGAGGACCCTTTGAACTTAGCAGAAAGTGACAAATATCTAAAATGAAAATCAAAAGACTACATGTAAGGAGACAGAAATGGTCTACAGAGACATTTTGGGCAATCTGTCTTTCAGTAAGACTGACGGTTTTGTAAACATCACCTGTCAAGCTAAAAGGAAAACAATGCCTTTTAAAGCTGGACAGAGGGAGAGAGAGGTGATGTTCACAGCTGTTCATGTCTCTGGCAAAGCATTCGGTGCAGCTCTAGTTTCATTTGGTTCCTATGGAACATGTGTTCTTCATTTATTATACATGTACTTTAAAGTATTCTGACAAATTGCTTATAGGGACTTACAGATGTTTTTCATGATTTGTATTTGTACTTGGTAGCAGTACATGCAGCACTGTGATGAATTGACATTATAGAGTCATAATCTTGTATAATCTTATAGCTACAGTGGTGGAATATCTGTATGTGTGCCATTCCACTTTTGACTGCAGAAACAAATTAAGCCTTATGCAACTTACAGATGAACTCCAAAATGAAGTTCCAAATGTACTTCAGTGTTTCTATTTTATAAAAGTAACTGCTTGAAAGAGTCCAGGCAGAGCCACAAAGATGATTGAGGGAGTGGAGCATCTCCCTTATGAAGAGCGGCTGAGGGAGCTGGGTCACTTTAGCTTGGAGAAGAGGAAACTGAGGGATGACTTCATTAATGTTTATAAATTTGTAACGGGCGAGTGTCAGGAGGAAGGAGCCAGGCTCTTCTCTCTGATGTCCAGTGACAGGACAAGGGGCAATTGGAGCAAGCTGGAGCATAGGAGGTTCAACCTGAACATGAGGAAAAACTTTTTCCCTGTGAGGGTGACAGAGCACTGGACCAGGCTGCCCAGAGAGGTTGTGGAGTCTCCTCCTCTGGAGACATTCAAAACCTGCCTGGACACGTTCCTGTGCAACCTAGTCTAGGTGATCCTGCTTTGGCAGGGAGGTTGGACTGGATGATCTTTTGAGGTCTCTTCCAGCTCCTAAGATTCTGTGATTCTGTGACTCTGTGAAAATACTTAACGATGAAGATTCCTGCATCCTCCTCTAGGCGACCAAGCTATATCTCTTTATGAGTCCTTATGTTTACCTAAAAACATAATTAGAAAAAAAAATAAGGTAGGAACTCTCTGGTTAATTTTGGCATGTCATTTGCTGGTATCACATCTGGAAGAAATCCTAATCACTGGGTCCTATTTCACAATGCCAAGGAGCAACGCAAGAAATACTAAAACCCAGGGAGAGGAATGAGAAGATCATCCAGTTTATGATTTCTATTCCCACTACAAAATATCCACAGTCTCAAAAACTGCAGAAAACAGAAGAGCAGCAGCTACCCCTAGTCAGTCTCCACTCACCTCAGAAAGCTTTTTGTCTTCATCTGACAATGTGATCAAATACTATGTTCAGTAGCATGCTTATCTGACAACTTAGTAAAATACTAGAAAATGTGACTCTCTCTTGTGTAGATCCAAGTGAAAAAGTGAAACGTAATTCAAGTAGTTTATTGTACAATTTGATGTAGGCAATCTGATACATGCTACCTTGACACCTTTTGTATTGTCTTTAGGGTAGAAGCCAATACTCAGCATAAACTGGTCACAACATGGTCGGGGAAAGAAATATCTCCAAGAACTGCTTCTCAGTATAAATATAGCAGTAGTTCAGTGGCCTTCTCATGTAGCTGCAATGATTTACAGGGTTAAATAGCAGGACATCTCCTAGATCTCTGTTCCGTCAGGAAGAAAAAAAATTGCATGTGGTCTTTTGTCTTCCAGCCTTTCTTCCCTTACACAACATCAACTATGGTGGTGCCACTGAACTGGAGAGCTGGAGGCAAGCAGAATTTGTCCAATTGCTATTTTAAGAATATATATACATGTGTGTGTGTGTGTGTATGTATATAAAGCAGCACACTAATTTTTAATTTGCCACTCAATTTTCTGCAGATTCTTGGCACTACTAATAAATATAGCAGGAGTATATGCTCTCAAAATTAGAAAATGAATAAATAAAGACTGGAGAAGAATACACAAATTCTACAGGATTATTACTATTGTATTGAAATTAGGTCATACTGTATTAAATTATTCAGGCAATATGGAGACACAGAAGAAACAGTCTTTATATATAAATTTATAGCCAGTTCTGTGGGATATCATTAGAAGAGGCTACTGTCAGTGCCTGCAAAAACTGATCTGTTCTATCTGCAGACAGTAGAACGTCACATTCATGTTGAATTTAAAGCACTTTTTTACACTGTTAAAGTAGTTTATAAAAATAATTGTACATTCAGACTTGTGCTTTCACTGTACACATGGAGGTATTCAGTAATTTAATTTCATAACGTTATCTGGAAGTTTGATAATGTGTAGTAATCAGTGTAATACCATCCGTGTGCTGCTGCAGTGCCAAGTATATTCATGCACTGTTACTAAGACAAAGCAGCAAGGAGCAGTAGATCGATCATGTTTTATACTAAGGTTACATGACAGTGCGCTTTCCTGGTTGCATACAGAAATTACAAAGCCTCCTGGATGTGGACATGAATTTGCAGAGATTCAGAACACAACACCCTGTGAGGTCTGTGGGCAGATTTTTTTCCGAAAATATTTTGACAGCAAGTTAAACTAAAACTTGAAAAGTACCTGTCTCAGAGTATGTACTACATGCGTATTAAGCATTCAACAAGATCATTGCCTATCCATGGAAATGACCAAATAATAAAAATAGACAGATCCAAATTAATTTTAAAACTATGAAAAATATCAAATTAGCTCACTGTTTTAGGGCATATACATATGGTAATAATGAAATCAGGGTTGTTTTATAATTGAGCTATGTGCCCTTTCAGTGCTGCAAAACCTGCGATGAGCTGATTGCAGTAACTGTAACTGGAAACCACTGACAGAGTGTTGGACAAACCTTTGTCAGTTTGGGTTTTAAGGACATGTCAGAGAAAATGTACTGTCACTTTTCCATGACTGTGGTGTCAGCACTCCATGTGTGGTGTTGGAAAGACAAGTGTTCCCAACACTGTTCTTCATGGTTTCTTTTTTTCCTAATGCTGTATATTTAAGGATATTAGAAGGAATTGTAAGCAGTAATATGGACCATCTGAATTCAAATACTGCAGGCATGATGTACAGGCATACATCGTTTTCAGGTAATGTGTGCAGTGGCCTTACTTCAG